TGTTTGCTTCAGAACACCATACCTCAGCCATGTTCAACAGGTTTATCATATACAGCTTCGCGTACGCGTCTCTCGTCTTCGCTGCCAGCATACCACGACATACAGCACAGCAACCTCTTCTTCTCCCGGATCATCAAGCAGGTGGATTCAAGTCGAACAACATCCACGTCATGTTGGCATTTATTGAGAGCGGAAGCAAAATGCAAAAGCTGGCAGAAATCCCACTGAATACACGGATCGTCGCTGGTAAGTTACTTTGCCGTTGGGGCTGGAGCTTTCAACGACGTGCACGTCTCGGACAAGCTCGCTGCCTATCTGTAGACTGTAGCAGCATTTAATCCTCTTCAAGAGCCACTGACACTATAGCTAGGTCTTAATGTACCAAATCGTCTAAGCGCTATCAAAATCGCTATGGCAGTCACAGTCGAGGACCGTTCGATATCACTAGAACGCCTAGACAAGATCATGTGCAGAATCACGCCAAAGACGGATGCCAAAGAGAAAGAGGCAATGAAAGGTGAAGGGGAGCTAGATGAGCTGCCGTGGTTCATGTTGAGGGACGGCACAGTCGAACTCGAAGATAGTTCGTCGGAATGGTTTCTTAGAGGCAGAGCGATACAAAGCTTCGAGTGCCGTTAACGAGCCACAGTGATGATGACCGAACAGACCGTTTGACGTCTGATCCAAATGCTAATGTATAATGCTCTATGCTCTCTCCGGGTATATTAAAATGCTGTTTCGATGCCAATCGATATGTCCAAGTCAGGCGAACCCAAACGCCTATTATGCAAAGGATGGGGAGTGATCAAACGTTATTGTCCCCTTCATTCATGCCAACCATTTCGTATTCCCCCGCGCCATCCCTCCCTCTACCCCTGCCCCTGCCCCGAGACTCGCCGCCCTCTTCTTCGGCCGCCGGTTGCGGTTGCGGTTGCGGTCGCGCAGACGTCTTGCTTCCAAAGTTGATGGGTCTCAATTCCCGCCACTGGCATGCCCACATACCCAAAGAAGTCATGATGGTCGCGCTGCATATCTGTAGCGCCCACCAGAAGAGGTTCGCGGGTATCGCGTGCGTGTATAAGGAGGTGACGACCAAGTGTATGAAGTGCACGGTAAGGGCAAAGTCAAGGACAAGCTTGGAGCGGGCGATGAGAAGTAGTATGAAAATGGCACTGTGGCATGTCAGACGGTTGTACAACTCCACGGAGCGCGTAGGTGAGGGCTTACCAGGCGAGGCTATTCAACATCCAGACCAGGCCCAATGTCCATCCAACCGTGGTATCCCCGCTCAGGCTCTGCCAGTTGAAGAGGAGATCTAGGCTGACCTCCTTGCCCGCTACCAGGGCAGTGAAGAGAATGAGGATCCCGGCGCATGCATAGTATGCGAGTTGCAGGAGGACAATCTGGGAGAGGATGCGAATTGGCGAGAGATCCGCGAGTGCACCGGGTCGAGGGGGGCGGCGTCGGCGTGGCATGAATACGCAGGCGATGCGCTATGGCATGAGCATATGGAGTGGAGAGTCCCAAGGTCACGTCGGTTGGTCCTGTATTACTAGTTGGCAAGGTTGCCTGTTCGCGGATGGTTCGCTGGAAGGGTTCGGCGAAACGTAGAGCGTCAGCGCCGATGTCATAGCGTGGGAACTTTTGCCAAGCACCAATTCGACATTCTGCTTTACATTAATACCGACAGCCCTGCATACCAGCTCTACCAAAGAGCCTTGCGCCATACACTATACCAAAGTACGCAATTCTGGAATCCAATTCATGTCAAGTATTTATACCGCTCCAGTCTGACACGTGCGCCAGCTTCAACCTCCTACCTCCGCCTCCATCTCCGACTCCGCCGCGCCCTTCTCCGCAACTTGACATTCGACAACCATGGGCTGGTTCGGCTCGAGTTCAAAAGACGACTCCGGCGTCAAGAAGACAGAAGGCGGCGCATTCGAGTCACCCTCACGGTCAAATCGCAAACAATGCTATGCAGCACGCGACGCCTTTTTCGAATGCCTCGACAAGAACAACATCCTGGATAGCATAAACACAAAGTCTGGAAGGGACAAAGCTGCAAGCTTCTGTGGACAGCTGGACAAGGAATTTGAGAAGAACTGCGCACATAGCTGGGTGAGTTGCTACTTGGTCTAGTGTTGGGTGACGGCATCACATGTCTAGGACCGCAGGGATGGATGGGGGAGAGCAATGCTAACAAACACCAGGTTGAATACTTCAAGAAACAACGAGTGGTCAACTACCAACGCGAGCAAACCATCAAAAAAATTGAAATGCAAGGCGGCGAGATTACAGCACCGCAGTTACCTCTACCAAGTCAGAACAGGTAATTCGCGGCACTACCCGAAGATTTGCTCATATGCCTTGAGTAGTAGTCTTGTTTTTCCTTTGACGCCGCTCATGACCATGTACAATATGTACGATATGTAGTACCAGTAGTATCAGTAGTAAACATACACGATTCCCTAGCCCGCTTGCAGATGAGCAGGATCAGCATGGCGTGCACCACAGAAACGAGAGCCAGCTTGACTCAAAATGGTATATAACTCCAAACCTTGCCATAATATACTTCAAGGATGCATATAGTGAAAGGGCCAACAAAGTCGGCACTTCTTCACCCTCCAACATGCATCACATGCAAAGTGCCCCTCACCCATCACATTCTCCACAACTCTTTAATCAAGAGGCCCATGCACATGCACATGCACATGCACATGTACTCACAGTCGGTAAGTATGCATGCCCCAATGCAGCAGAACAAAGCCCGAACCATCCACCTGCGAACTTATTTGTCAGTTACAAAGATGAGTAAAACCAAGTCCGAATAGACATGGACATGGATGTTGAGGCCGACTAGATGCGCCCTCGAAACCCTATTGCTTCCATACATGTTAAGCGCCAACATGGCACAATGTCGTCACCCGGCCCCGAAACCATGCAGGCACATCCCCGAGAGAAGTTGCAGGCCGCAAACTATACGTGCCCCCAACGAAATGAAAGATGATTATCGAAGTTGGGCAAGCAAAGTTTTTGCTACGTACTAGTAGGTAGAAATAAATTGCTACCACACACACACGTGCACTAACCATCCAGTCCCATGACCACGACTCATCTACGTACCACTATGTCGAAATACCCAACCAAGATTAAACAAGCGTGCACATTCCCCTCTAGCTCCCATGCACTCCAGACGCACGGCCCCGCCAGGTACATTATTCATCAAGGAGCAACCATAGCGAGTGCACCCCCGTCCAAATCTCATCGGCATCTACATCCCGTGTCTTGGCCCTTCACTTGTCCCGTGCGCATTCTGCCTCGGTCGCAAAGACCAAAGAAAAAGTGAGAAAGTGAAAGGAAATGGTAAGGATCAAGGTTAAGTATACCCGTCTGGGGAGAAAGGAAAAAAGGCTAGCGCAATACCTACATATAAATGTGTAAACAAGTACCTTTATTGCTTTCGGCAAAAAAAAGAAGCAGGTCATGACTCCTTTTGGAGAATATGTACATACAAGTGGTCAATCAAAGAAGTCTAATTTGGGGCATGGGGGGGGGGGCAAGCGGAAAGCACCAGAAACAGAACAGAGAGCGTTTGAAAGCCCCAGGAGGTTTTCAAAAAGAGAGAAAAACCGTCGCACGTAAGACGGAGTACACGCCGTTGCAGCGAGGCGAAACGGGAGGAAACAAAAGTCAAAAAAACAACAAAAAAAACCAGTAAAGTTATACACAGTAAAAAGTGTTTCCCTTGCAACCAGAGAGTTTGAGTTACGCACGTAAGACGAGTTGGGAGAACGGCCGAACGGGCGGCGGAAGGGACGGCGGGGGTCTGTGTGTGAGTGCGTGAGTGAGTGATTGTCCGTCCAACGTTCTGCGGAACGAAAGGGAAAAGCAAGGTAAGTAAGGACGGACCGGGGAAAAGGAGTCCCGGTCAGCAAGCAACATGCACACACCCCTCCTCCTCCTCCCTGAAATAAAAAATGACCCGGGGCTGGGATATGTGGGGTTATATGGAAACAAGCAAGGAACGAATCGGGCGAATTTTCTGAAGGAGGTCAACAGAAAGGATGAATAGAAGGCAACCAGCAATCGGAAGGTGGGGGAGGGGAGGGAAGGGCGTTGGTTGCAGATTAGAAACACTTTATCGCACACATGGATTCCCTCTTTTTCCCCTCCCTTCCCGTCCTTGTCACCTTTTCCCCCCGCGACTTGATGACCCGCTTTCTCTAACGTCGCTTCACACGTGAACAAGGCGAAAAGCAAATTGGATGGACGGAGGCAAAAATAAAGACTATGCCTGACTACAAAGATGTGCTCTCATAAACCACAAGGACATAGTGCACAGTAAAGCAAAGCAAAAAGAAAAGATGACTTGCCGTCCATAGTTTACCTAATACATGTATATATTAAATACTTGATTGGCTACCACTATACTTTCCCAACCCACCCACCCCCTCTCCAAGATAAGGCGTTGGCAGCATTTTAGCCGCAGCATCGAGCAGCAAGGCCCCAAATCGCGCCACCTGGTCAGAGTTTGTCGGGTTCGGCGAGATCTGACCTTTGTTCGTCTCGGTTATCTCTCTGTGTGCAGAACCAAAGAGAGGTACCGCCGCCCCTCCCCCCACCCCACCTTGCCCACCTGCCACTCACCACACATCCCATGACTTCATGACCGAGTCAGGTCCATTTTGGCCCTTCCCTTCCTCTTTTTCGCTCTTTTTACCACTCTATTGGCTGTCTCTCTCCTGCGCCTGCGCGGAGGTTATTTCCGCCTTTTTGTGATTGCCAGCATGAACGGTATGTATGCATGCATGTGTGTGAGTAGTATATGTGTACTTAGTATGTATGTGCGTAATGCAACCTCGTACTGCCCTTGATTGCGGAATTCCCGTGTGTCCTCGTAATTGAAACGTGGCACACGCGACTGTTGATTTCTTTGTTGCGCCTCATTCCCGACGGTCTTTTTTGAGGGGGAATGATAGTCAAATCTTGTCACCCTTTCACCACTTTGTTGGCCAAATGGTGGCAGGATCGAACTCGCGCCTAAAAATGTCCACGTCAGACATGCAGCCCTTGCTTGGTGATCCGACCATGCTACTGTCAATGGCAAAGACTACATCCTGGAACGCGCCATGGAACTCTTCTTCCTCAAAGAGTAATTGTCTCCACATGCACGCTACTTCCTGCGCCGGGTTGCGGAAGATTGGTCCGAGACCAAACGCGCCCAAAACCAAGTTTCGATGGCCGCAGTAGGATGCGATGCGCAGCACTGCTCGCATCTTCTCTCGCATTAACTCTCGTTCTTGTGCAAATGAGTATTTGCAACCGCTCTCGTCAAGTTTTGGACGCCGCACTGGAGCGACTGATATCACGGGAAGTGAGGCCATGTCTGCAAAAGCTGCGTAGTCTTGTTCCGGACCGGCTCTGAAAACGTCTGTGGCTTGTTAGTAGTGAGTCTCGTGCCGAGGCGGACTTTTGGCTAGCACCCCAACATACACACTTCGGGAGAGTAGATGCCACCTCTTTGTGGGATGGGGTAGAAATTCTCTTCGACGCCTAATTGTGCGTTCCAGGGCATGGTGAGAGCGTGGACCAGGTTGCTTCTCCGCGCAAAGCACTCTTCTGGAGCCATGAGGCCAGATTCCCAGTCGCCACCTGCGCGCTTTTCGTTGGCTACATTGACCACAGGAATTCTCTTGCAGTTTGGATCCGCATTGAGAGCACTCTGGTACCAGCCCAGGGCATAGTTGACAGGGTCGCCCTCCATGACCGCGACTCTGGTTCGTTGTGATGAGCGCTTGTCGACATTGACTCGTATTTGTGCAGAATCTGGATAGAGATATGACGTCTTGGAGTCTCGAATGTAGTGTTTCCAAATGTGAGGCATCCATACTCGCTTTGCTTCGGCTGCTATTTCAGAGGGTTTTGGTCTTGATTGTGGCATGGCGACGGTGACGTAGGTGGAGTGTTGGCTGTTTCGTGAGCTGAGGCTGGCAGAGCAACAAGGGAAGGTAAGTCGAGGGACGAGTCTGGAGAAACAACGACACGGGAAGGAGGGCGAGGACAGTGATTTACAGCAGCACGAGACTTGAGCAAGGCAGTGCGGGGGAGGGAGAGGGAGCGAGTGAGTGAGGGCCTGTGACCAGACGGCGCCAGACCGGCCAAGGGACAGTATATCAGTCGAATGCGGGTTTTGCAACGGGCGTGTAATAAGGCAAGCTAGATCGTAGCCCCAGATCGAGTCGGCGACTAGACTGGGGCAGCAGAAATGCACCAGCTACAGAAGCGGCAGTCGTCTGCGTGAATCTGGCAGACCCCTGTGGGTTTGGGCGCGCGAGGTGTGGCATTCTGGCAGCAGACACGGGGACAGCGGTTGGAGGGATGGAGACATGATGCATGTACTAGGTGGCCGGTAGCAGCCGTGCCGTGTGTTTGCAAGCCTGGTCCTGGTGCTGGGGGCACTGCTGTGAACCCAGGCAGCTGCCAGGCACCTGAAGCCACAAAGAGCCGTGTCGGGTTTGCTGGGACGGGCAAGGCAGGGATGCGTGGCTGAATCGATCGGCCAGACCTCGAAGCGATCTGCATCGGGTTGGAAGCGGGTTAGAAGGATCTGGCGGCGCTGGGCAGCCGATGATGACAGCTTACTAGCACTTGGTAACCAAGATCCTGCACGATATAGCGTCGCAGCAATAGCGTCGGCACTAGAATCCAGATGCAGGGCACCATGGCACATCGAATCAATGGCTGCTTACCGTCGAGCCCGCCACACGTAGCCGGGCCACAGTGCCACAAAGTGCGTGTTTCCCTCACCGCCAGCCAGGTGGCACCAGCAGGCAGAGAGGAGCGGCGACGACGACGACGACGACGACAAAGGGCCACGGCATCATCGGGCCCTTGCTGCGGGACATGGCTGTCCGGGAGGACGAAAACGGCGGTGGTGGTGGCGGAGAGGGGGGGGCTGCTGACATACATGTACATACGTAGGTGTAGTTACATGTAGTGTGTATATATATACTTTTGCCAGCGAGCTGTGGCGGCTGCGGTGTTGTGTGTATACGCATGTATGTGTGGATGAGTGTGTGGATGTTGTGTGTAAATGCCAGGGCTGAATCTCGTGCTGCAAACATGTTAAAAGTCTGTTCATAGAATGTGTATGTAGTCAGTAGGTATCCATGCACGTACGTAAGTATGATTCCCAGTCGATACATAAGCATCCGACTCCTTACTCATGTCCGCAACTCCCCTGCTCGCGGCCTAGCGTTTCAGGGCGGGCGGCCGGTCGCTCACACGAACGATTGACGAGCGCCCAAGAACGGCCAGGTTGACGCGATCCTAGCGCGAGGCCCAAGCGCCAGCTCGCTTTTTCCAAGCTTCGCTTCCTACACAACGTCAACGCCAACGGCAACACCCATTGCTGTATATTACACGCTACACCGCACTGCTCGACAGGTGCAATCTGCCGCCGCGTAAATGAGGTGCGTCCTGCGCCCGCTGACGACGCCTGTCCGCCCTCAGCACACGTCTCCAAATCACAGCGCCGCGTCTCCCTGGCCGAGTGCATGGCCGACATGTCGTCCTCGCTGCACTTCAACGTTTCGCCCCAGCACCATTGCTGAGCTGCTGAGGCCCTCTGCACACTCACCCTCTGCACGCCAGCCTCTCCCGGATGGTGCCACCCTGACGGTCAACGGCTATGTGCGCACTGTGCGCAAGCAGAAGCGAATTGCCTTTGCCGCCATTGGAGACGGCTCGACCTTGCGCACCGTCCAGGCCGTCCTCCCTCCCCAGCTAGCAGAAGGGTCAGTCGCCGCCTCTACTGCTGCTCGTCCAGGCGCTGACAAGCCGCTCCATCAGGCTCTCGACCGGCGTCGCAGTCACAGCCACCGGCAAATGGACGCCTTCACCAGGCCAGGGGCAGTCTCATGAGCTCCAGGTCACTGATGTGCGCATATTGGGAGACAACGATGCCACCGTGAGTTTGCTACCGTGATCTACAGTGACTATCTTCACCATCTGATTGTGTTGCTCCGTCTCAGACCTACCCAATACAGAAAAAGTTCCAGACCGCAGAGTTTCTTCGCACTCTCCCGCATCTGCGAAGTCGACTGCCGTTCAACTCGCTTATCCTGCGGTTGAGGTCTCTAGTCACAGCTCAAGTAACAAACCACTTTGCGAAACACGACTTCGTCCAATGTCATCCGCCAATCATTACGTCTTCGGATTGCGAGGGCGCAGGCGAGGTCTTCACTGTGGCGCCCGAAGCACCATCTGCACATGATCAAATCTCCGCCAACAAGGCTAATCCCCATCAAGACTTCTTTTTTGGTTCTCCAAAGTACCTGACAGTCTCGAGCCAGCTCCACCTTGAGGCTCTGGCTCAGTCAGTGAACAAGGTCTGGACTTTGTCCCCCACGTTCCGTGCCGAAAAGAGTGATACGGCCCGTCATCTTAGTGAGTTTTACATGCTAGAAGCCGAAATGGCCTTTGTCGACGATTTCAATGTTGTCATGGACACGGTAGAGGACATGTTGCGCTCCATTGCTTCTGAGCTGCAAACCTCGGCTGTAGGCCAGGAGCTCCTTGAAGCGCGGGCGCGGGATCAGGAACAAGAGAGCGCATCTGTGTCGCATGATGCGCTCGCACAACGGTGGCAGGGGTTGATAGCCGGGCCGTGGCCAAGGATTACCTACAAAGCCGCCGTACAGCACCTCCAGGACGCTATATCTCAGGGCAAGGCCGAATTTGAGTACGCGCCTGGCCATGAAGACGGCCTCCAGACCGAACACGAACGTTTCCTGGCCGAAAGTATAGGCAACGGCGGGCCCGTTTTCGTCACTGACTACCCACGTAACATCAAGCCATTCTACATGGCGCCATCGACGGGCGCAACAGCTGATGGTGGCGCAGCATCAACAGTCGCGTGCTTCGACTTACTTGTACCCGAGATTTGTGAGCTTGTGGGGGGCTCGATGCGCGAACACAGGCTGCCTGATCTTGTCCAGTCCATGGAGGCCCACGGCCTCCGACACACGACTGACGAGTCGACCGACGCATCAGACGGTTCCCTACAGTGGTATGTCGATCTCCGGAGATACGGCAGCGTCCCGCATGGCGGGTTTGGCCTTGGGTTTGATCGGCTTCTGTGCTACCTGGCGGGTGTTTCTAATATCAGAGATGTAGTCAGCTTCCCCCGGTGGCACAAGCGGTGCGACTGCTGATACCCAGTTGAAATTAGAGGACCTCTAGTATCTCGGATCACGACATTGTGGTGTTGACCAACATGGTGCTTTGTAACGTGTCATGAAGGGTGCTGGAGACTATTGCTTGTTGTAGTGATCGAGACCGAGGGCTCATTGTACCTGTGCGCTGCAACGACCCTCTCTGTCCACTGGTGAGACCAAGCGGGCTAGCCCACCACACGAGCCACCTTTGCCACGAAATACAACGACTACAATGTTGTTTTAAACAATGACCGGATACGATACATCCGCTAACACCGAGTTTACTATACCAAAGTGCATATGAAGTAAAATACTAGTATAGTGGTGGTGTTGCAGCAACAGCAGTGATCAAAGCTTCACACCGTCGGTGCTGGGTGGCTATCTCCGACTTGGACCGACTGAGAAGCACCGCTGCTCCGAATCCTGGCGGGCCGAAGCCGCACCGATTTTGCGGCTGCAAACAAGAGGGTTCAAAATTCATGTCCGCTCTCATACTACACGATACATAGGGTAAAGCTGGTTGCTTCGGCTCATCGTCACATGCGCAACAGTGAAACGCTGTCAATTTTCATGTCGCATTTGGTTAGTCATGGCAGTCGAGGCCTATGCGCGGCTTATTTGATGCCGATATTGGCCATTAATCAGCCGGATGGTCCAGAGTAGAGTAGAGCAGAGTAGAGCAGAGTAGAACAGTACGCTACCGTGAGTCGTTGGCAACGAGGTGGGGGGTGGCGGCGGAGTCATGGTGCACCACCACTACCACCCAAGACAAGCTTTTGTAGAATACAATTCGCGTAGTCTGCGCCCGCGAAACAGGCGTTGTGACTGGCCTGAGATGTGGGCGGAGATGATCTGATAAGATACTGGAGGGAAGCTACCACAACTCTTCTCCCCTCGCCTCGCCTCGCATCCCCGGCTGGCTTTCGCAGACACTCGCTGTCGCACTCAGAATGTACTCCATCTCCGCGGCCATGTGCAAAATTGTCTGGATGCATTTGCCGCAGTGGTGGCGGCTGGCCAGTCGAGAGGCGCCTAAGTGAAGCATGTCTTGTATGTACATAGATACAGCCTCGTGGCACGCATACACATTGGCTTGCGCAGACCGAGCGTGGCCATCCATCAGGCTCCGGCATCGCAGCGACTGATAACAACGGCCAAGTTGATGGTCGATAGAGTCAAACCCCCCGGCCGCCGCGTTTTAGGTCTGACGTCTCGGCGTTCGGCTGAAGTCATCTCGCGCTTCCGTTACTAGTTGCAAACAAAAGTGACAACTTCAATTTCCTACGAGCGTCAACCCACCGCCGTCGCCCGCTTGCACCACCCTGGGACCTATCACGAACCCTTCCCAATTGCCTCTCTTCAAGCCGCCAACCTGGAATCCGCGGCACCTGCAGCCGGCCGTCTTATGGCCCCCCATGATCCACCCGCAGTTCCTGTCGAAGAAGAGCACGAGTACAGCTCCATTGCACCGCCGCCATGAAAGACACCAATCGCTAACTTGCGCGCCAGCTATGAAGCACTCCCACCAAATTTCTCCCTCACGGCAAACATGCTCGCAGGCGCCTTTGCGGGTGTCGCCGTACGTCCTCCGGAGTCGCCGCCGCCATGTACTCGCCCTGGCTGACTTGACGACAGGAACACTCAGTCATGTACCCGGTAGATTTGCTCAAGGTGCGCAACATGCCTCTCGCTCACTCACAGCCTCCGAGCCATGCGCTGACTGTCGACAGACCAGAATGCAAATCGTCAACCCCTCGCCAAGCGCCATGTATAGTGGTATTTCCAACGCCATGGTCACCATATCCCGAGCCGAAGGGTTCTGGTCGTTATGGAGAGGATTGTCTAGTGTTGTAATGGGCGCGGGTACGCAAACAACTGCGTAGACCATGGCAAAGTGTAGCTGACTGATGATACAGGCCCCGCGCATGCTGTCTATTTTGCATCGTACGAGGCCACGAAGCATGCTCTCGGCGGAAACGAAGGAGAGAGCCACGAACACCACCCCCTTGCAGCAGGTGCGCAGTGCCACCCACATTCGCATTCTAGCGAGCACTTGCTAACTGTCGATAGCTGCTAGCGGTGCCGCAGCCACCATTTCCAGCGATGCATTGATGAATCCGTTTGACGGTAAGAGACATAGTACCACAGCACCCCGCGTCTGCTGAACCCCGCAGTCATAAAACAACGCATGCAAATGCACGGCTCGATATACAAGTCTGTCCCGCAATGCGCCCGCGAGGTCCTCCGCACAGAGGGCATTGGCGCATTCTATGTTTCCTACCCCACAACACTATGCATGACGGTTCCCTTCACAGCCCTGCAATTCATGGCATACGAATCTCTCTCCAAAGTCATGAACCCTACCGGCCGATACGATCCCTATACACATTGCTTTGCGGGCGGTGTTGCAGGTGGATTTGCAGCAGGCCTTACCACACCACTCGATGTTATCAAGACGCTATTACAAACGCGAGGAAATGCCAGGGATGTAGAACTGAAGAACGTCTCGGGTCTGGTGCAAGCTGCAAAAATCATCCACCAAAGAGAAGGTTATAGAGGATATTTCCGTGGCTTGAAGCCTCGAATCATCACCACGATGCCCAGCACTGCCATTTGCTGGTAAGTTCTTTTGCAAATCGCCTAGTCTGGTATTTTCTAACCCAAAGTAGGTCTGCATACGAGATGGCAAAGGCCTTCTTTATTCGGAGAAGTACGAACTCGTCCACGGCTATATAACGAGACGAAGATGCAGACTGGCCCCTTTCCCAGGCATCATTTACAAAAATCGCCATAGTATGACGATGCGCGCTTTGCAAATCGAATAATATACCTGCGGCGTCGCGGAGAGGATATTACTGCAGCACTGGGCATTTGCGACGAGGTCCAGCATTCTGTATAGAGCGGGCAGAGCGAGAAGATGTGTCGCGATACTCCCTACTTGGCATTGTGTAGTGAGAGAGGCTTTGAGGCTCTTCCAAACGCTTCATCTGGCAGCGTCTAAACGTTTGGTTATGTGAGCGCATGGTGGCTTGCGCAGATAATTGTACCATAGGAGAAATTCAAGACCGGCACCGCTCACAATAAACCTGTTGACTTTTTCACGACTTGCACAGTTTGTCTTTTACTGCTTGAATGGCAGTGCTCTTGTGGCTTACATATTCTTGCAAAAGAGTTGAAGTCTTTACATTAATCTTTTTTTGGAACCTTTGCATTTATTGTGGTAAGCTTCTCTGTAGGTGCGTAATCGATAGACGACGGCCCGCTCCTGTTTAGTCTCTGGTCGTGTACCCCACTTTCGCATGCACATGCGCATGTCTCGTGGATTTCTTTTGCAAGTGCAAGCATTCATGAAGTTGAACCTGACTTACGGTGGTGGGTTGCCCATGTTTGAAAAACGCCACCGCAGCAGCATCTTTTGTTTTGCTCGGTTGCCGTTACTCAGCCTTCAAGGTTGCGAATATGCACTGGGCAGCAGCCAACTACGTCACGCCCCAGCGCGAAGCTAAGGCTGGCGCATGCAACAGACGACCCTGCCAATACCAGCCCAGGCCTTGGTGATAGACACCTATTCCTGTCTCCGCATCCTACGACGACTTGAAGTGAGCGCGCAATATCTACTTCCTTCGCTATGCGCGCCAACACCACCCAGAAAGCCTACGATGAGGCTTTCTTGGCCTGTTCGACCGCAGTGTACTTTGAGAGCCAGGTCAGCGCCTGTCAACCCAACAATGTCGCGTACGAGGGAGAACACTAACCAGAGTCCTCACAGAACAACGAGCCAGAAGCATTGCGATCTTGGAGGACAGCCCTCGACCATATCAATTACCATAATTCTCGTCGCAACCCCTCGACATACCGCCCCGCAACCGAAACAGAGAGAGCGCTCATCGAATCGCTACGTCAGCTAGAACTACAGTGCAAGGAGCGTGTAGACCTTTTGGAAACCTTGAAAAGGAGCCGAGAGGATTCGAGGGAAAGCTTGACCTCAGTGTCGTCTGACACGAATACACCAGTTGCACCGTCTCATGGAGCGGCTCAATCACCAAATGGAGCGAACCCATCTTCTTCGTGGCTCGGGAATGGTTCTATACCACCGTTGGATTATACCGATCTCTCACGGCCACCGCTACCTTTGCGCCCCGCGATGGTGCCTCGCAAAAGCTCTGGCAATGGGTCAACACGAGAAAATAGCCTATCACAGACTCGGAGCGCATCAAATTTGTCCCCAGGCCCTGTAGGCGAGAACAAAGCGCGTACACCATCCCCAGAGAAAAGCGGTAGATTATTGCGGACACTGAGACCTGGAAGGGAGGGTAAATCATCATCAGGAAAGATGCCCAACTCGTTGAGGAGCCGCCCTGATGCTTCAAAAGCAGCTACTCAAGCATGGACTGTCAGGACCGCATCAGCTTCGAGCCGCCCTGTCCTGGGCCCGTCAAACCCATCAACTTCTTCAACGATTGCTTCAGTACGCTCATCAATAGACAAGTCAGCTGCTGAAAGGCCGAACATATCCTCGAATACTCAGTCGCAACTGCCATGCGTACAAGCACCGCTCTCTTCAAGAGCTGACCACCGCTCGGCATCCACTGCTCATGTAGCTTCAGTTCCTATCGATGATAACGAGCCTCAGCCTACCAGAACTCGAGCTGCTGAGCGAGCAGCACCGCCAGTTCCCCGAAAATCAGTAGATTCAGGACGATTGGTGGGCACGCCATTGGGAAGCATAGCATTGCCTTCGTACCGAAACGAATATCCTAAAACTATGCCCGATCCCCGAAACCTCGCTGCATCGGCAGCGGCACACTCATATGGCGATTGTGGTGTTGAGAGAGGAGGTGGTAAGGGGAGTGTCATGTGGGATCCAACCACACGACGACTAGTACCGAAACCTGCAAATAACAACGTGCGCACACGAACTGATTCCGAGCAAGATGATCTGTCTGAATCTATAGCAATTGAAGCTGACGGGAACGTTGCCAAACAAAGACGGTCTCCAGTACAAAAGGTCAGAGGTAGAGGAAACTCGATTCGTGCAGAGCTACCCGATACCCCGAGCACGGACAGTGCCGAGGGCGAGGAAGAAGTAGAAGAGATGGACGAATGGAAACGACGAACAGAAGAAATCATGAAGAATCTTCCGCGAGGTGTCGACAAGCAAGCAGCGCAGCAAATCCTGAACGAGATTGTGATACAGGGAGACGAAGTACACTGGGACGATGTATCGGGATTGGAGGTGGCAAAATCAGCTTTGAAGGAAACAGTGGTTTACCCGTTTTTGAGGCCGGATCTGTTCATGGGTTTGCGAGAGCCAGCACGCGGCATGCTTCTCTTTGGACCTCCGGGAACCGGAAAGACAATGTTGGCAAGAGCGGTGGCAACTGAGTCAAAGTCAACGTTTTTCGCCATTTCTGCAAGCAGTCTAACATCCAAATTCCTGGGCGAATCAGAGAAACTTGTTCGTGCGCTATTCCAGTTGGCTAAGATGCTTGCGCCGTCAATCATATTTGTTGACGAAATTGATTCACTCCTTTCGTCACGGTCCAGCTCTGGGGAGCATGAAGCAACACGTCGCATCAAGACTGAATTTCTCATTCAGTGGTCTGATCTGCAAAAGGCGGCTGCTGGAAGTGCAGTGACTGAACGGGAGAAAGAGAAGGGCGATGCTAGTAGAGTGCTTGTGCTGGCTGCAACGAATCTTCCATGGGCTATTGACGAAGCAGCAAGACGAAGATTTGTAAGGCGACAATATATCCCACTGCCAGAGGACTGGGTCAGGAAGCAGCAGATCAAAACGCTGCTGAGTCATCAGAAACATGAGCTTAGTGATGAGGACCTCGATCGTTTGGTAGAGCTGACTGAAGGTGAGTGTATGCGATCAATGTTTTATAGGCATATGGCTAATATCACAACAGGTTTTTCTGGGTCTGATATCACAGCACTTGCCAAAGACGCTGCCATGGGTCCTTTGCGTTCACTAGGGGAAAAGTTACTTTCTATGACTATGGATCAGATACGGCCAATACAATACCGAGACTTTGAGGCTAGTCTTCAGACCATCCGACCGTCGGTAAGTAAACAGGGACTGAAGGAATTCGAAGATTGGGCCGCACAGTATGGTGAGCGCGGAGGTTAAGGCATCAATCACCTAGATGTAGTGATTATCTGTATATTACTTGGTCTATCGTAAAGTGTACGGGGAAACATCACAGCAGATGTTTGGTTTGCAAGTTTTGAAAGATCCTAAGGAGGGAAAGGTAATAGCCAAAACACTTGCTCCTGCCTCAGTCGGGGGATGACTCCTTCCTGCCACAACATGCACAAGACTTGGCGCCATCTCACAGTGAGAAGTTCAACTTCTTAGCCTTTCAACCAAAACTATTCACACTCTCATTCCATACACTTGAAAAGTACGAGATGGCGCCACGTAAGAAGACTGAAGAAAAGGCCTCGGCCAATGAAGCAGCAGACATGGTGCTACTCTACCTGCGTGAGTGCATCTTCCTCTGAGATACACACACACACACACACACATACTACGTGTAATGACTTCCATGATAACACCGTTTGTATAGGCAAGCAGAACCGTCCGTACTCGGCCATCGACGTCTCAGCCAACCTGCATAACAAAGTGACCAAAGGTACGTTTCTCGAGACACACAAATATGTTATGATGCTCCTTTTGATGTAGGCGGGACTGACGGATGATGTAGCTTCCGCAGCCAAGATTCTCAAAGATTTACACGAGCAAAAGTTGATTGAGGGAAGGACAGCAGGTATGTCAAGTGCTGTCTTTACTTTGCGGCCTTGGTTTTTGTCCGAATGATACATACAACGGAGGAACTGATATCATCTTTGTGTGAATGTAGGGAAGCAGATTGTATATCATGCTCTACAGGTGAGTTAGGGCATTCATTTCCCTTGTTCCCCCACTTACTTTTCCACAGAGCTAACCAATCTGACTACTATGTAGGACGCAACAGACACATGTACAACGGAACAACTTGCAACCCTCGACGCTGAAATAGCCAATCTACGTACGCAAACGGCAGCACTGAATGCTACGGCCAAAACTCTGCGGTATACGCTTGCATCTGTGACGTCGACGTTGAGCACGGCGGACTTGATCGCCGACGTGGATTTGCTGGAGAAGGAAAAGGCGGAGATTGAAGAGACGCTGGATGGGTTGAGGAAGGGGAAGGCGAGGATTGTGAGTTTCTTCTCGTCTTGTTTTGCTTCGTGTTCATATTCAGCCATTGAGATGACTGGGTTTGTTTATTTTTTGGAACAAGGAAACAAAATTGCTAAAAAGATATGAATACCTACAGGTCACACCAGCAGAACGTCAAGCGATTGAGCAGGCGTGGAAGAAGAGTGTGAGGACGGTTAAGAATCGAGAGAAGATTGCGCGTGAGATGTGGAAGATTATTGCGGATAATTTGCCGGATGACGAGGCGAGGGAGGAGCATAGGGAGATGTTTGATCTGGACGGGTAGCGGGATTCATGTGTAGTGAGTCAAGGTCGAAATGGGGCAACCATGCAACACATGAATGGGCGAGAGACGTCAAAAATGAGGGAGGAATCAATGAAGAAACGAGAGCACATGCAATTACGAGGATACACTATATGGGCATTGTCCCATTGTCGTAGTATGCATTATATACAATTAGGTATCCAGAGTCTGTCGTTAAATTTCTTCAATTGACGAGCGAGCAACAGATGTAGTCCGAGAAGGAAGAAAACGCCCTTGTGCAATGCAAACACCCACCCACATGCCATGACGGGAATCAATATGCCAAGCAACAAAGCATCAAAAGTGGATTCAACAGAGACGTATGTGGTTCTGCTATGCAAAAATTAAACTCAAAAAAAAGAAGGACGAGGAGGTGGCGCAGATGGGATCAAATATCTTGTCTGCCACCTCGTTGGTAGGAAAAAGAGCCGTGGAGATCATTTCGAATCTCCTCGGACAGGGTATCTTGGGCGTCAAGGTCGTCGAGGGCATCGCTGACACGGGCGAGCTGGGCCAGTGTTTTTGCTAGAGCCGCGCCCTCTATGCGGCCGCGGTCTACGTTGACAAGGAGCATAATGGGGAAGGGGAGACCGACAAGAACGGCTAGGAACCAAAATGCCTGTTTGAAGAGAGAAATTAGCTTGCTGTCGTTTGTGACCACTGAAAAAAAAAGAGGAAAACATACCGGTCTAATTTCCCCATAGGCATCTGTAATTGCGCCTACTATGGCGGGACCAAAAACACTGCTGCCCTTGTCGGTTATGGCGTACAAAGCATAAAAAGCCGCCTCATAACCCGGAGGAATGAGTTCACCAAACAGTGCACGACAGTAACTGCTGAGACCACCGAGGACAAAACCGTAAACGGCACCCAGAGGATACATCTCCCACTGCTGCTGTAGACCTAGGAATCCCAACCGCTGGACTGCTGGGATATATCCAAGGAGTCCGTAAATGGGGATGGTTTCGAAGAGCAAGATGCAGAGCAGGATTGTTTGCGTGGGTGACAAGTGGAAAAACGACGAGAGGCGTGACCAGAGGAAAGCGCCTAAAACGCCAAAGACGGTTGCAATGACGTTGATGAGGGCCAACATGGCATATGGCATTCCGAGTGTCGTCTTTGCAAAAAGGACTGCTGTGCCCGAGACTGTGGCTATGCTATCTGATAGCAAGAACCAGGCTGCAAGGAAAAGCAGGACATCCTTGAGATGGCGGGCATGGGTTACGGTGCGGCCGAGCGACTTCCACGAGTAGCTAAAGTATGCGAGGGCGGTGCGGAAATTGGACGTCTGCTCCCCAATGTGCAAGGGTGGGCCGGGGCGAGGTCGAAGCCAGCGGGCGGTCGGGAGAGTAAAGAGAAACCACCATGCGCCGATGATGAAAAGAACCAGGCGAAGTCCAAAGTTTGAAGACTTGAAAGCAATGACTACGAGGATGCCCACAGTTTGGACAAGCAAGGCGGCAATGTATCCAATTGCAATGCCGTAAGATGAGATTTTGGTAGCGAGGGAAAGTTCGACCGAGGAAGCGTTGGAGGCCTTTGGCCTTGGGATTGTCAGGTCGACGCTTGGCGGAGTATGGGGGAGCAGTGCGGTTGTGGCATCTGCAACTTCTTCAAGGAGGCCTTCACGCTCTGCAATGCGGTTGGCATAACGTGCGTCTCGGACTATGTTTTCCTGGGTGGGCGTTTCTCCACCTCTTTCGTCGTCTTCTTCGGTCGTGACTTCGTCGTCAGCCACGTCTACGTGCTCGTCTTCGTCTTCGTCCCCGTCGATGAAGGAGGTTGCGGCGCTGGTGTCTGCATACTTGACGGTAGGGTGGAAACGCACGAGAAGGGGTAGGAAGCTGTTGAGCAGGACGAAGCTTGCGCCGAAGCATGTGTTTGCGACTATGGCAAGGAATGCGCCCAGGATATAGATGCTCGGGACTACCGGCAAAAACAGCATGGTGGCTATGCTGCCGATGAAGGCGAAATAGAGGAGGAATGTCTTTCTAAACCTGCCGTGGTCGGCGGCGCCGCTCATGCTAATGATCAACAGAGCCTGTATGAGGACTGATATACTGAACGTGTACATGGCAAAACTGGCCGTGTTGATTTCCACGCCGAGGATGTAGACTACGCATTGTCCTTTTTCAGGGCCTGGTTTGAACAATGCATTGATGGGGGACACGGCGGGTATCGTGGCCTTGCATGGTGTGGAGTGGTCGGCAAGCAGGACGCCATTTTCGCGGGCTAGTTGCTCGAGGGTGACGGGTATGAAGGAGCCAATTCCACAGACGACAAAGACCTGGAGATTGTTAGTGGGGTGTGGGGAGGGCCATGGTGGAGATGGAGGCAGGATGTAGCAAGTACCTCAGCGGCCCATCCATACATGTAAAAGCCGCGGAGCTCCTTGTCGCTGGTCAGGCGCGTGTCCTCGCCATGGTAGTGGGGGCGGTCTGGGGCAGCCTCCATGTCGAAGTGGTGATGGTCAGACAGGCTCTGCTCATCGTCTGCCTCGTTGGACTGGGAGATGGAGAGGACCGAGGCCTTTGACTGGGACGAGGCATTTCGGGCGATGGCTGGTCGCTGGTAGGGCGGAAGCTCGGGCGCGCGCGGTGCCATGGAAGCAAGCAGGGCTTACACTAATTGGCGGAGGAGCGTCACCGCGACAGAGACATTGCGAAGGGAAGGGAGAGGCGGCGGATAAATGCGCAGCAGACGACAGCCGCCCAATGGCCAGGAAGAGGCTAGCTGGATCTGTAGGAGGAGGGTGTGTGAGTGTATCGAGGCATGTGTGGATGTGCCAGCCAGCTGGGGGGGTGGGCTTGTTGGGTCGACAGCGGGCGATCCCATGGTCGCTGCTGGACGGGCGACGACCTGGACGTGTGACGATGGCTGCGCTGGCCATGGGCTGATGCGGTGCTGTGAATGGACGTGCATTTGCAGATGTATTCGTATGTATATATGTATTTAACTAGGTATTTGTACGTATACAGAATTACACATATATGCCCATTGCCCATACTACTATTACATGGACACATACGTAGGTAAACAAATACACACACACACACACACACACACACACACACAATGCCTCCAGTGCCTGCCCGGCCTGACTCGCCCTGGAATGCACGCCAAGACGGCACCCCCCGGCCAGGCCAGGGCTGATGTGATGTCTCGCCGTCAACCTCACCCTCTTTGCATCCCCACCCACCCACCGCCAGACGAGCCCCATCCACGCCAGCACCCTCTCTAACCGCCCCAGCCGACAATGCCATAGTCGCCCTTCCGCGCCCAAACCCTCCGCTCCTTTGTCTTCACCCTCGCGCCCCGTCCGCCCGCCGCGCCACCCCCAGTCGCCAGGTCCTGCGCGTCGCATCCAACTCTCGCCTCGCCTCGCCTCGCCTTTTGACCTGCACGCCCGCATCACCATCGCCTTCTCGCCCTCTCCAAGCAGCGCAGCCGTCTTGCCCATACAGCCACCAGGCGCGCGCACAGCGGGTGCGGCCAAGGCGCCCGGGGGCTGCTGCTCTGGCGGCGTAGCATGCCAGGCATTCTCATCATGAACCACACCGCGTCCGACGCTGCCACGGCCTCTCGCCATGGCGACTCCAACACCGCTGCACCCAATGGCGCGTCCGCTGCATCCACCGCGCTCGACAAATACTCGCAGCTGCCACCCGAAATCGCCCACATTGGCCCCGAGCAGTACAACGCCCTCTCGACCCTGCTGCAGCGCGTATCCCAGGAATCCTACAATGACTTGACCTCGATCCTGCAGAAAATGGCCGCCCTGCCCGTCGCGCCCATGGCTAACGGCGCCCTCCCAAACGGTCTTGGCGCTGCCAACATGCAGGGAAACGCTGAATCCAACAAGAGGAAAAAACTCATGCTCCTCCAATTTGCGCAGGAACAGCGCTCCAAATTTATCAAGCTGCTGGTCCTTACCGAATGGGGCAAGAAGGCCGCCTCGGACATCTCAAAGCTCATCGACATCTTCTCGTGGGCCGGTGCGCACGCCCGCAACATGGATGCTGCTGATGACCAGCTCGAACGCATCAAGATGCTCTCCAACATTGCTAGGGAAAACAATCCAGACATTGCGACTGCCCTTCAAGTGCTTTCCACCGGCAAGGCTTCCTGGATGCCAAGCCTCGACTACATCCCCCCCAAACCCATCTCCTCGGATGAAGCCCTAAAACTGCTGAGATATATGAATACCTCCCTCTCCATTCGCCTCAACGTGCACGAAAACCTGCCGCGACACCTTCGCAACTGGCGCATTCACTCTGGCCGGGTTACCTTTACCATCAAGGGCCAATTAGAATTCGATGTCATGTCGTTTGTTGAAGATGCTTCAGAACAATGGTTTCTTATCGATTTGCGATTGCTCTTCACCCCAGCGCCCACCGTGACCGTAGGAAGCCGTTTCTTCATACAGCTCAAACAGCAGGCCGATTTTGTGCTCAAGGACAAGGGTCTCCCTGGCCTCTTTGAATTTTTGAACAACTTTATTCTAACGCACAAAATCTCGGTTCTGCGCTCACAGGCCGCTGCTCTTGTTCGTGCTGGATGGGCAGGATCCCTCAAGGTCGAACCCGTGCATCGTTTGCTTGTCGTACAATACTGGACTACCAAGCCCGGCAAAAAGAACTGGATCGAAATCGGCGTTTCTAACAATAGGCTGAGCAACGCCAAGTCCTCGTGGAGAGGCCCGCCAATACCTTCTCTGACCACCCGCTGGTTCCGCCAAGGAAGAGAAGTAAAGGATGCAAACTTTGCCTTTGATTGGACAAATCTTTCCATGGAAAAAGTCATCAAGCTGGTCATTGCACGCCATACTAGCGACATATTGCGATCCACAAAGGAGAGCATGAAGTCTGGAGTTGTTGCAGAGACAGATCTGTCCGAGGCCGAACCGGGAGACTGCAGGCTCAACGCAACCCTGGGAACAAAATCAGCCTCCATCACCTTGTCTTTGGAGCCAGTCACTGGCAATCATATTATGCGGCCGGCAAGTGCATTATCAGCACGGGCCGAGAATGCCTTCAACCTGGGTAGGGAGCCAGCACAGATGGCTCATGTAATGACGCAAGTACTGGCAGGCACTTTACTTGGTTTGATTCAAAGAAATGCCCAGCAGCTTGGATGGCAAACGGTTGCAAGGCAGTCGCTAACTCCGCAAATGGTCAAGGCGGCTGTCAAGCTAGATGTCATCTCGTCAGTTCTCTATTGGCCTCGTGGATGGTCGCCAAACTGGGCTTTTGCAGCCATCATTGACGCTTCGGGAGAGTCCTGGTGGGTCCTCGAAATCGGCTCCTCTGGTAACCGCGTCGAGCATGCAGAGCAAATTAGGATGAATAGGCCGGACAAGAGTCCCTTGCCAATCAATCGAAGCACCCTAGCAAGTCTGGAAAGAGTCGCCGTACAACTATTGTCCTTCCGTGTCACTGCACGCCAACTAGAGAAGGAGAAGAAGATGTATGCTTTGGAGGAAGAGTTGGGACAGACACCTGCTTCCGCACAAGGACGGCGCATCGCTCGCCGATGGGTCCTGCGTGTGCAAACTCCAGATCTTCTCACTCCCAGCACAAGGGACGACAAATGGCTTGAAGCAGATATCAAGATCACATGCGAAGGTCTACGGGTTGGTGGCCAGGAGGTGTGGCACGTGGCGTCCGGAAAGATGGTCAAGTCAGTTGCTGCAGATATGCACAAACTCATGGCCGCCTCACCACAAAAGGCATTCAAGTTTTCTGACGATGGTAATTTCAGGATTCTCCTTTCTACCCCCTTCGGACAGGACATACTTGGGGAGCTGCGTGCACGATTACGGGACGTCAACCGTCTTCGTAGCTTCGCGACGACTCTCCAGAAACGCAGAATGCGCCTTGCATCATCCTCGCTACAACGTGTCCAATTCTTTTACGGGCCCTCGCCATACACTGCCACGGTCAATTTCAGTTCGGAGAAGGAAGTCACAATCGAACTGTCATCCAAGAACCCCCATCATCGCATCCTCAATCTGCTCACTCATATTGCCAACGACCGCTTGCCTTCTTTCATGTCCCTGGATCGCAATGACGCCAACGGGTTGGATCGTTTCTGCACGACGCTAGTCCTCACGCGCCCCTTATTTAAAGTCTTCCGCGAAATCGAGCAACGGTCGCCTGGCAATTGTCGAAATCCCGCGATACATGTTCACTCCATTCTCAAGTATCGTATCACTTACGAGAACCCCGTCTGCACCTTTGATGTGTGCCTTCAACCCAAGGATGATAAGGTATTCTGGTTTGTCGAGGACAATCTACGTCCCAAAGATCCCAATGTCCTCCCTACGCCCGAACGTGGTCAGGGCCATAGGCGACTTGACAACCTCCAAGAAAAGTTGAAGGAGTTGTTCAGTAGTAAAGGACCAGGGTGGTTTGGGACGCGGAACGGTATGGTCGCGGAGTTGGATGCGATTCCTGATGCGCTGCGCAAACTAGACGAATGTGTGCTGAGCTGCAAGATGGAGGGTGGATATGTCGCACCTCCACCGCTCGAGAGGCCTACACAGCAAGCTCAGAATCCTGGCCAAGGAATGTCCAAGACGAATGGAGTGCAGCAAGGGAGTCAGCAACAGCATCAGCACCAGCAGCAACAGCAACAGCACCAACATCAACAACATCAGGCAAGAATGCAACAGCAGCAGCAACAGCAACATCAGGCTCGTCAGCAACAACAAGGGCAGCAACAGATGCGGATGCAACAATCCAACCAACGAGTTCAGCAACCAAACGGTAGACAACCACAACACATGCAGAACGCGCGGCAGCACATGCAGCACCAACAAGGTCGTGGAGGTCGCCCAGGCCAGACGCAAAACAACGTCATTGAAATCGATTAGGAATGGATATCCGATTTCTAATACGACCCTAGTCCTTTCTTTCATCGCGATTTTATTTGACGCTTCTTCTTTCGTCCGTTCAATGTACTATCTTCCCTTGGTCGTCAAGGGCAACCTTTGTCCTACGCGCTTTTATTCCGACGTTGGTATTTCGGTACTGCATTGGGAAAGCGATGCAATGGAGGTAACCTGATGTAATTTTTTTCATCCCCTGTATTTTTGATCTTATATGCTCTTTTCACCTCCTATCTTCAGCGATTCCCCCCGTTCTTTACGCAGATGGTGTTTAGGGCGTCTTCTTTTACGTACTGATGCGTGTGGTCGATAGACTGGATTTTGGTGGCTTTTTTTGGACTTGGGTTTAATGGGTGTGGTCTGGGCATCACTGGGCGGTCATGCTTGCGTACGGTGGGAATGGCAGTGTGTGAAGGATGAGGATATCAATAGTGCATCATACACACAATGAATATGAGTGTTTGCCAACATGTCAACGTGGGAATTTGATAGAGATGTTTCTATGTGTTGTGTCAACTTTCGAGCTGTACGTCTACTAGCGGTTATCAGAGTTCGATGTTGCTCTTCTATTTCGTAGTTTTCATCGCCTGGTCCATGAGAAAGGTGAAGAGGAGGTCATTTCATAACCTTGCATATACAATCCACGTTGACACCAGCGTCAAAATCAAGTATTCTTGACTCGAATGGATACAGAATTCTGAGGATCGATTTCCAGCTTCCTATATCATCTGGACTGCCACGGTTCTTCTTGTCTCTCATCATCTACTGCATCTCTTCGGGGGCAACAATGACATAGCGTGGCTGCGAAGGTGAAGGTAAGTGAATGCTTTTTTGGAGTGACTTGTGATCTTATCGAGATAGGCAGATAACTGTCATTCACCTTCACTTCGTCGCCAAGCCGCTGTAGTCACTTCTCGTCCCAGCCCTCCCCTACACATATATAAGGCACTTGGTCCACTTGTTAAGCACCAAAAAACTCTAAAACAATTATGTCAGTTCCCGTGTGCCAGAACAACAACAACATGGAGCCCAGCGAGCTTGCTATGCAAGCGGCAAGCGTCGACCTATCCAGTACTTCATGGCTGGATAGCTCCATTCTGGTAAGCCTTCCTCAGCACTGTATCTCCTATACTTACTGAACAGTTTCAGGTCGAGAAGGTCAACAACCTGAAGGAAATCAGTCTGGGGAACTGTCGCCTTCTCTACGGCAGCGAGCGCGGCAAATTCTACGGTATCACAAACCCACATCCTCCTTGCAACCCCCCAAGCTCACATATAGGAAAAAGACATTGTGATCGGCGAGGATGAGGAAACAAAATCGTTTGGCGCAGTCCTCACTTGCAACCAAGACAGTCAAACCAAGCTCTTACGCACGTCTACGAGCACCTGCCCCGTCAAGGCCGTACGCAAGCTGGTCAGTGACCTTCAGAAGGATACCGCAAAGCTCTTTCGTAAGACATCCCTTTCTCACTTCTTGACTCTTCAGATGAATGACAGCATGTCACAGTCAAGTACGGCGTCGGATCCCAGCTAGACGGCCAACAAGGCTACACCGACAGGGACACCGGAGAGTTTCAACTCTGGGGCACTGCCTATCACAAGCGGACAAATGGTCCGGACGATGACACCATGGGTCTATTGAGGTCTTGGAGCGGCGCTTCTGGTGTACCTTGGAGGGACAGCCGCTTTCCGAGGAATGGTGGTGCGAGTGGGTACGATCGCAGCGGGTATGAGCGCAGAGCTACAGAGCAGATGCCTCGCTCGGCAGACATCTTGAACTACTACGATGAGTTGTAGGAGGGAGGAAATGAGAGATGGCACTCAATGAGAGGGTTGCAGATATGGCTTTGGTTCAGGTATGGAGTGAAAGCATATGCGACTAGGCAAAGGGAATTCTTCGAGGTTTCAAGCCCATGAAGTTATCAACGTCTACATCTACCTTCTGGAGCATGAGCCACGGATACGTAGTATATCAGCATAATGGAATCAAGATTCTGAAACTCCTCGAATAGTCCAGATGTATCGTGTTATGTGTTAGTTGTATCATCACTGTCAAGGAGACTCAAACGATGATAGCTGCAGTGACGCGACGCGTGCGCACGTGAAGTCGAGATTGGCATGGTCATAGCGTCCGCTACATGACGTACCATACTCGCCTGGCATAAGACAACATTATTTATTTGCCAACACGTTGCGCAGGAATACACTCACACTATGAACAGCCCGTTGAAGCGCAGAAAGAAGAATGATGGGTCAGGAAAGCCGGTTCGTAGCTTAGACTACTTCTTCGCGAAGCAAGCGGCAAAAGCGACAACCAAGGATGCGCCTACGGATCCTACGTCCAGTGGAGCGCCTGCAGAGCAAGATGACTCGGGATTGACAGACGAAGAACTTGCCCGCAAACTCCAGGAACAATGGGACAAGGAGGATCGCGAAAGGGGTCAGAATGTGGTGCCTGGAAGCTCAGATGAGTTGTATGAAGAGCCGGAGAAGCGTACCACGAATATGGCGGCGAATGAAGGTTCAGGCAATGCAAAGAAATCTGAATCACCAGCCTGTGATGTTGTTATGGAGAAAACACCCGAACTTGCACCTGCGCCAAAGAACAATACTCTCACGCTACAATCAACCGCATCCGAAGAAGATACAATAACCGCAAATATACCCTTCGACCAAAGCCCGCTTGAATTTAATCCTGCGGAATACATACCTGACTTGAAAAAGCATTGGGTAGCCGATGGAGGTCACGCGACCTATGCTCTTCTGACAAGATGCTTCATTCTAATCAATAGCACCACGAGTCGCATCAAAATTGTAGATACTCTTGTCAACCTACTACGAACAATCATCGAGAGCGACCCAAGCAGCCTACTCCCGGCTGTCTGGCTTTCCACGAACGCGATATCGCCACCGTACATTGATCTTGAACTAGGACTTGGAGGGTCCGCAATCTCCAAGGCGTTGAAGAAGGTGTGCGGATTAGACAACGCAAGCTTAAAGGCATTGAGCAGCAAGCACGGAGACGCTGGTGATGTGGCATTCGAAGCAAAGAAGAAGCAGTCATTTACCCTCCGCAAACCAAAACCCTTGACCATCAAGAGCGTTTTCGACTCGTTGGTCAAGATTGCAAATAGCAAGGGAAATGGCAGTGTTGAGAATAAACAGAGAATCGTCGAGAGACTCGTTCAAGATGCGAGAGGTGCGGAAGAAAGTCGTTACGTCGTACGAACCTTGGTGCAGCATCTGCGCATAGGCGCCGTCAAGACCACGATGCTCATTGCATTATCGCGAGCGTTCATGTTGTCGAAGCCTCCGGGAGCTGAGTTCGAGACACGTGACCGAAAAGACATGGCGAAAATGAAGAAAGAGGAGCTGGTCGAAATTTACAGCAGGAACGAGGAAATCGTCAAAGCATGCTTTGCCCGGAGACCAAGCTACAACGACCTTATACCCGTACTTCTCGAGATCGGTATCTGCGACGAGCTGCTCGTGCGTTGCGGCCTGGCCCTTCACATTCCTCTTCGGCCCATGTTGGGTAGCATCACGCGTGACATGGGTGAGATGCTCACCAAACTGCAAAGTCGAGATTTTGCTTGCGAATACAAGTACGATGGACAACGAGCACAGGTGCATTGCGATGCAAAGGGCAAAGTCACAATCTTTTCGCGACACCTCGAAGTCATGACGGACAAGTACCCCGACTTGGTGGCGCTCGTACCCAAGATACGAGGCGAAGGCGTGTCGAGCTTTATCCTCGAAGGTGAAGTGGTAGCCGTTGATCGAGAGAGTGGTGACCTCAAGCCATTCCAGACACTAGCCAACCGCGCGAGAAAAGATGTAGTCATCGGAGCAGTAACGGTTGATGTCTGTCTCTTCGCATTTGATCTCATGTACCTCAACGGCGAGGAACTTCTCAACCGACCCTTCAGAGAGCGAAGGTCGCTACTTCGAAGCCTGTTTGTTGAAATCCCTCATCACTTCACCTGGGTCAAAAGCCTCGACGCCACATCCGCCGATGTAGAAGCCGTCCAGTCCTTCTTCCAAGGCGCCCTAGACATCAAATGTGAAGGGATAATGGTCAAAGTCCTCGACAACCTCCCCAACCCGGATCTCCTCACCGAAATAGATGAACTCGGCCTCGAAAAGACATCCTCGCTGCCCCCTACACCGAAGAAAAAGAAACCCACCAAGTCAAAAGCAAAAGGAAAATCCACAGAGGCTGAAACAGACGAGCCCAAAGCCTCGGGCCGCCGCAAAGCCTTGCTATCAACATATGAGCCCGATAAACGCCTCGACTCATGGCTCAAGGTAAAGAAAGACTACAGCACCACTTCGGAAACCCTCGACCTAATACCCATTGCGGCATTTCACGGGTCAGGCCGAAAAGCGGCATGGTGGTCCCCGATCCTCCTCGCCATTCGCAACGCAGAAACCGGCCAGCTCGAGGCAGTCACAAAGTGCATGTCTGGCTTCACAGACGCCTTTTACAAAGCCAACCGCGCCAAGTACGATCCCGGTGATGCTGACTCGACTACCGTGTTACCCGGCAAGCCACACTATGTGGAGTATAATGGTGGGGCGGGCACGCCGGCCGTGTGGTTTGAGCCACAGGAGGTATGGGAGGTGGCTTTTGCGGATCTGACGCTCAGTCCTACGTACACGGCTGCGATTGGGCTGGTGAGCGATGAGCGTGGGCTGAGTACGAGGTTTCCGCGGTTCCTGCGGGTGAGGGAAGATAAGAGTATTGAGGAGGCGACGGAGGCGGAGGAGTTGGCGACTTTGTATAGGAAGCAGGAGGCCAAGGCGCCAAAGAAGGACAATGATGGTGGTAGAGCAAGAGAGGTGGAGGATGAGGATATGGATTAGGAAACATCATCGTTTTGGTTAATACTGTTCTCGATACCCCCCCTTCATACGATGTTAGTAGGCACGCAAAGTGGAACATGTTGTAGTGAAAAAAACACTCTTTAGATTGACCGTGACTAGAAGACTAATATCTTGTTTGTCTTGTACGAACTATCCTCCCATCATCCTGCCAGCACCTGATACATCAGCGTGCAAAAAAACCATCCGATAGCCGCGTCTGTTCCTCCAAGAGAAATCGAGATACGGGGAACCGTGGGTCCTCCGCGGGATACTTGCTATGCCGTTACCGCATCTCAGCAGCGTGGATCGTGTGTGCTACGCGTCCAACGTGTCGGCATGCTCCTCCTCCGCCGTACGAGTCTCGTTGTCGTCAGGCTCGAAGCGGTCGCTCGGCGTGAGGAGCGGCGGTAGGCATAGCGTATTCGACGCGGTTAGAAGCCGTGAACCTTGATGGTCTTGCCATCAAGGCCGAGGCCCTCCTTCTTGTCGGTCAAGAAGTCCATAACATCTTTGCGTTGATCACCCTGCAACTGAATCACCTCTCCCATCTCACTGTCTGCGACGACGGTGCCATTGCAAGCAAACTTCTTCTTGATGACCTTAAGAATCTTCTTCTGATCAAACTTCTTGGGTAGGCCTTGGACCGTAGTTAGAGTCTTACGACCATTGCGTTCTGTGGTACATTGACGTCAGCCTTGCGCGATTTGTTGGGGCCGGACCAGGGGGGTTCCGGTCAGCGGATTGGCGACCACGGCCGATGTCGCGGTGAGGAGTGCGAGCATCGTGTAGAAGGGATGCCAGAGCTTGGGAGCTAGGGGAAAGAGATACGTACGCTGAATACGGATATGGATGTAGTTCTGCTGAGTAGACTTTACTTCGCCTCCAGCATCGTCGACCTCCGCGAACGGATCGAAGGACTTGAGATTCTGGATGTCCGTGGTCATGAAATCGACTGGCGCGATCTGCTGGTGTATGGAGAGGGCGAGCGTTGAAAAGTCGCGGAGAAGCGGGTAGAGGCAGAGTAGAGGAGCGGGTGTGAGGGAAGAGGAGAGAGGTGGTGGCCTGGGGTGGTTGAGGGTATTAAGCGGCCCAAGGGTGGCGAGTGCACCTGGGCACCAACACGGCCAACGGGGGCGCCCCATGGCGGTCTAAGCCCCACTGCCAAGCCATGCAGCCACCGCTACGGGCTAAACTGCATGTGACAGCACCACAGCACCACCACGACACTTGCTAGCATCTTCTGTCCATTCACCGGCCCGCTCGCGTATCATTATTCCACCCCTTCACCCATCACCCGCTTAGTCACCATCCTGTCCATCTCAGATGATCATCGCCAGCCTACTGCGTGTCCAAGAGCATGACACCTTGTCATCATGACGTTTCATGTCTCTGTCGCGCTACTGCTGCGAGGATGCGCCTCCACACTGCGGGATCGCCTACCAGGAACATCCAGGGCCGCCTGATTCCCCAGAAAGATGCAGCGCACAACGAGTATGAGTACGAGAGTCTGGACCCTCCCGGTTTCATCCGAGTGTTGCTACATGCTCCATCGTCGTAAAGGGCTCGGGTTCGCGAAATGATTCGTCTCAGGCCACTGAGGACGTTTCAACATCAACACCCTCCACCTATGCGTCTTCGACTATGCAAGCACCTAGCCCACTTGGACACGACTCATGGCTCAATTTATGCATAACGCTATACTGTGTATAGTATTTGAAATCCCAATATCGTGTTCCGATTTCTCGACAACTTTCGTCGTCATGCTATCAAATCAGCCGACCTACCTCTGCAGATAACCTACCTTTCCTTGACCTCGATGCTGTCACTGCCTAGTTGTTCAGTCAAGCTTCAGCATAGTAGCCGTTTACTGTAGCTTAACTACCATTAGCGTCGTTTGCGAAGCAGGTTAGAAACATGCCAAGTATATGTGGATAACCACGGCGGCTGAAACGATCCCAGCACCATCTTGCGGTTTTTACCATGTTCTTCTGTTCCTCTGTTATTACTCTCCTTTTGCCGGTCCCCTTCGTTTTTCGGTGCATTGTAATTGGGCTCATCTCGATTGTTTGCTGTCACCATGCGCCTTTAGACGTTGTTTCTTTACTAATTCTTTCATTTTCCTACTCGTGCTGGCACGCTTCTTTTAATACTAATACTGTATGCTTCAAGTGTCAAGCTGTCAGACACAGTTCTTTTTACTCTCGCTAGAGGCCTCGAGATTTTAGAACTACAATCTTAATCGTTTCTAGAAAGATGCGATCTACAGTGCTTCTGGCTGGTGCTATGTGTGGCCTGTCCGCTGCCAACCCTCACCCATGGATGTATGGCGTACCCGAATATCCTGATCTGGATATGAACGAGGTTATGACGCAGGCAGATGTCGACATAATGATGGCTGTTGGTGAGATCAGCGCGGCATCTGACAGTATGGTGAACACTCAAAGCTCCACGGCCCCGTCATCAGCAGCATCGGGACAAGAACCATGTGCGGTCGTTGGCAAAGCCCTCGCTGCACTACCCTCTGGAGCCCGGCCTATTGTCCCTGCACAACTTGGTCTACAATGTCTGCAGTCGGTTCCCATTGATCAGCCAGGAAACGTACAGCTGATCGACGATCTCAAGTTGGTGGTCAAATGGCAATCCAATCTTGCCTTCCTAAAAAAACCACCCGCGACATATACTGAGCAGCCTGTCGACATCATGGGACAACTCGACAACATGAAGACCCGAGTTGCGACTGGAGGTTTCGCCACCGAATACGATTTTCAGCTGGCGATGATGGACCTCTTCACCAGCGCCTATGACAACCACTTTGCCTATCAACCGGACATTCTGGCTTCGGTAATGCAGTTCCAAAGGCCACCTGGCTCGGAGCTGGTATCTATTTCGTCTGATGGTGTGGCCTTGCCAGAAATCTACGCATATAGGGATGTCCTAAAAGCGAACAATGCCTCTTCCTTCACACCATCAGCTATCAAGAAAATCAACGGCATGGACACCAAGGAGTACCTTGCGAATGTGTCTTCTACTTCCGACTTTCACGACGCTGATACTCGATGGAATGCGTTGTTTCCTTCTCAAGCTCTGCTTGCTTCTGGCACCACTTTTCTTGGTTCTTTCCGTACTGGCCGATACCAAGGCCCTAATACCACTTTTGAATTTGCAAATGGCACAGTTTGGTCCCAGATGAACGTTGCTGTAGTCATCAAAAACTTCACTGGCGTCGACAGTGGCAGTGCATTCTTCCAAAAGTTTTGCAGTGGACCTCAACCTCCATCTGCAGCTCCAGCTCCAGCACCTCCTAGCAACAACACGACCCCTTCAACTCCCGCAAATGCTCCTAAACCTTCGCATATTGGATACCCAAAAGCTGAGTTGATAAACTCTGACCTCGCTGTCGGAGGTTACTTTCTTGACGGCTCGGCATATCAGGTACGTTCTGACTGTTATACTTTGTACTTGTCTAACTCTGATAGGATGTCGCTGTTCTCAGCATCCCATCTTACCAGGCCCAAAGTCCCCAAGCATTCCAAAATACTATGCGTAACTTCATTCGCATGTCCAGGCAACTTGGCAAGACAAAGATGATTTTTGACCTGCGCGGCAATGGCGGAGGCAACGCAATCCTGGGCTACGACACCTTCAAGCAAGTCTATCCACAAGCAGTAGCTGAGCCATACGGTGGAACACGGTACCGTGCCAATGAAGCCCTGAACATCGCTGGAAACATCACCTCCTCCTTCCTGGCCAACACCACGTATGCACAAAACAACCGAACCGCCTTTACCGAAGCCCTTGGTGCAGACGCGACGGACAGCGACATCTTCGCCCTGTCGGCGCCGTTTAACTACCAACACACGCTGGACATAGATAACAAAGCTATTCCCAGCTGGCTGGATTTGTTTGGTCCAGTCGACATCAAGGATGACAAGTTCACGCCCATCCTACGTTACAACTTCAGCGACAGCGTAAGCACGTCGTACACTGGCTTCAGCGTCATTGGCTACGGCGAAAATGCAAATGAAACAAGTATGCCGCAGCCATTCCGCGCAGAGGATATGGTGATGCTGCACGACGGCATGTGCTCGTCTACATGCGCTATTGTCTCTGAGCTGCTCAAGAACCAGGGCTCCGTCCGCACAATCGCCGTGGGAGGCAGACCGCAATTGGGCCCCATGCAGGGCGTCGGCGGCACAAAGGGTGCACAAGTATTCGCCTGGGACGACATTATTGTCCGCATGCAGGCTCTATATGCCTTGGGCTCGCCTGGCCAGCAGAAGCAATGGGATGGCATGGACATTGGCAAGACAGCAGCCGTCGAGCAGCTCCTTAAGCGCTCTGCGTACAATGGAGGTCAGGTTGCAGGCGGCGTCAATCTCAAAGACAACATGAGGCTCAACGACAAGTCGGGTGTGCCGCTGGAGTTCATCTACGAAGCTGCAGACTGCAGAATGTGGTTTACGCCCAGGATGATTACAGATGTCACCCAGGTTTGGAAGGGTGTGGCAGATCGCATGTTCATGGGAAATGGAACTTCGCTTTGCATACAGGACAGTACTACCAATCCAAGTAGCGTGTCTGGAGGTGGGCAGTTGAACGGTGGAGATGGGAGTGCAACGGCCAAGAGTTCCAGCCAGTTCACTGGCAAGGGAGTCATGGAGGGTGAAGCGAGCCACATGGGAACGCAGGTTTGGTTCATGAGCCTTGCGGTTGCGACAGTTGTGATGAGCGTTCTAGTATAGTTAAAAGATACGGCTTTGGTTAGAATTAGTATAATAATATAGCGCTTTCTATTCAAGCAAGAATAAAACACGTTGATGAAGTCCAGACAAAAGCGATTTAGTGAACGCTGGAAAACTGAATGATATTTCGTACGCGGGTGTCTTGTCCAGACATAGCGCATCGTTTGCACGCTACCTCCTACAGATTGCTTGCTGGGATGGCGGTGTACTTTTGGGGGGTATATGGTAAGCCATCTCAAGCCATTCCTGCATTGCTATCCAGAATGACTGGCATGCCACCGTGGCATGCCGATGTAGCTCTGATGTCCGCCTCTAACGCCGACCGTGCCATCCGTAGTCTCATGTCATCATGTTCGCTATCACATTGCTCATGCTGGCTGCTCATACGCCCTCTTGATAACCCTTGCAAATTCTGCGCCCATGTCAGCAGGGCCTCACGAAACATTTATGGATATGAACTTACGGTCAAATTTGACGTTTTCACGGACAACGGTGCCCTTAGCCTCGTTGTCCTTGTTGATGGGCACCTTGATCTTGTCACCGTCGACATTCCATCCACATACGCTACCGACAAAGTGGTCAAATTCGCTTCCAGAGAGGTTCAACCACGACTCAAGGATGCTTCGGTCAACCTCGCGTATCGCCTGGCTGACAGTGGCGGCAATGCGTACGCGCATGAGCTCCTCAAAGCCAGAAATGTCGGCAATCAAGTCGGCGTAGAGGTCGTCAGAGTCGAGGGTGGACCAGAAGGTGGCGTAATCAGCGCCTTCGAGCAGGTTCCTCAGTTCGTTGAGCTTCTGAACAGCTTCTGAAAGAGGGGCATCGCCAGCTGCTGGGTTGTGTGACGAGGATGACAGAGGAGCTAGGACATGTGGAGGAAGGAGTGAGAGACCCAGAGAGAAGTCGGGGCTCGGGAAGACGGTCAGAGCCTTGACGAGGATGTTGGTGATGGTCTCGTCGCGGGCAAGGTGGGGGTTGAACTGGTAGCTGGTGCGCAGTTGTTAGCAACAGGCAATGGCGGAAGTGGCGGGCATCAACAGTGGAGGGGAAGAAACTGTCAGATAGAGCTAATAATGAAACTTCAGCGGGCGGAGCGATTCAGACTCCGACACCTCGGGTAATAGGAAACGTTGTGGTTGTTTGTTCATCTTGTAGCTGTAGAGTAGGAAAGGGGAAAGAAGACACGTACAGCTTCAGCAGGGCGAGGTTGGCGTAGCAGTCGTATGTCTGGTTTTCGCATTGCTGCATGACATAGTCCTGGAAGACGCCCGTCGTCTCTGGGTTGTAGCGATCCAGGCCATCGAGGATCTGCTGCATGTGATCCGGCCGCTCAGGCGCGAAGTCGAAAGGGGCGCCCATGGTGGTTGGTGTGGATGAGCGACGAGGCGTTGGTGTAGCAGGCTGGGTTCAATTTCGCACAGTGCGAGACGGGCGGGCACTGACCACCACGCAGCCCCGCGTCATCCTTCAAAAAAGTTAGACCCCGCCAAATCATTCTCCCACACGCGCTGCGTATACATACACACCACGCACACGTACACACAATGGCAGCGCCATATGACAGTGACTCGTCCGATGGCGGCGACGACTACACTGAGACCAATGTTCTCCTCGGGTATGCCGCCAAGGAGGCTACGAGCGACACCATCTCCCATCTTGGAGGCACTCCGGTACGCATGGCACCGATGCAGCATACAAAAGTCTGTCACTAAGCCGTGCAATAGAGTTGGATCGATGACAAGACTGCCCCTTCAGGCTCCCTGGCCAAGTGTAAAGTCTGCAATGGTCTCCTCAGTCTTTTGCTTGAGCTCAATGGCGACATGCCCGATACCTTCCCTGGCCACGAACGGCGATTATACATCTGGACGTGCCGGCGCAAGACATGCAGAAGAAAGGAGGGCAGTGTGAGGGGCATCCGGGGCGTGCGCATCACAAAGGGCGCCGGCAACAAGATACCCCCTGCCAAAATCGAGAAAAAAGAGGAAAAGCCGGAAGAGAAGCCACAGCCTAGGATAGGCGAGTCGCTCTTTGGCGTACAAAATGGGGCAGGCGCTTCAGCCTCTGCAAATCCCTTCTCCAACCCCTTCTCTTCCAAGCCAGGTGCTGGAGTAGCGAACCCCTTCTCTTCGCAGTCAGGAAGCGCAAATCCCTTTGGCGCACCAGCGCCGGCACCGGCTGTACAAGCCATCGCATCCGAGAAGAACAAGGATGAGGCGTCTACAACCCTCCCAGAGACCTTTGCATCTAAGGCGCGCATCTCATCCCCACCTTCTTCTGAACAGCAACCTCCACGGCCACACGAGCCCTGGCCAGCAGACTCTGCCTTCCCCGCACCGTTCCCACATTACCACCTGGATGCCGAGTACGAGACATTAGACATTCCATCAGCGCCAACAATCCCGGCGAATGTGCGCATGGAGGTAGACGGCGAGGGTAGCGGCAGCACTGGAGGAGGTAAAGAAGATAAGGAAGTCTTTGAATCATCCATGGACAGGACATTCCAGAAGTTCGCAGACCGCGTAGGCGAGAATGCAGAGCAGGTCTTACGTTATGAGTTCAAGGGCAAGCCATTGCTGTACAGCGATAGCGACACTGTTGGGAAAGCTCTGGCAGCTCACTCAGAGAATGGATCTTCCTCCAATGCCAAAGTCACAATAACAGGCTCAAAAGGCGGATCGGGTTTCCCTCGCTGCCAGATGTGCGGTGCAGACAGAGTGTTTGAGGTTCAACTGACACCACATGCCATTACTGAGCTGGAGGCTGAAGAAATGACCCTCGATGGTATGGAATGGGGCACTATTATCATGGCCGTCTGCAGTAAGGACTGCAAACCCAACGACGTCCCAGAAGGCGAATTGGGATACGTAGAAGAATGGGTCGGTGTGCAGTGGGAGGAGGTTCCTTCGAAGAAGTAGAGAGAAAAGATACCCTTTGTTCTGCTGTTCAACTGGTTCACGTTTCTGAGTAAGATGTGCCGTATTAGATATGTATGACGCTTGGCACCATGCTCTACCTCTTAAAGTTCGGAACTCTTGTCGTTCCGAAATGCTCATTACCTCGACGAAAACGGCAATCCAATCTCGCAACTGAGACCATCAGTGGATTCTGATACAATCTCAAATCACCTCACGAGGATAAACATGTTTCTTTGTGGCTATACAAGGGAGTCATAGTCTTGACATGTGATGTGTGACTTGAGGTCCCCGCTAAGCCTCATCGCATACCGCCCACAATCCTCATTCTTAAAGATCAATTTAGTCATCAATAAGCCGACAAAGGGCCTTGTTCCTGCAGGCTCCTAACCGCTCATGGCAATGTAAACTTCATCAACCAATCCTTTTCTTTCTTCCAACCAATCACAATCAACACGAGAGAGCGATTTATCGCCTGAGAAATCCGTTGCGGCTGCCGCGCGGTTTTCACACTGTTACCTCGAACTAATTGCCCCGACGCTTGAGTTGGACACGTACATGTATCCATGTATCCATGTTTCTGCCTGCGTTTTTGCCAACATGGTATGGTGTGCTCGGAGGGTTCCGGATGACGCGGTAAAAGGTACATATATGTATGTACCTAGAGTGCATGCACGATTACGCTGTCTTGTTCTTGCACGCTCTTCGCCTCATTGAGACCGACCACCACGATGGCCACACCAGACCCACAAGTGGCTGTGCCTCCAACACTACCAACACAGCCACATATATCAACCCAGCCTGTGACCCTGCAAAACTGGTACAAGAAGATCAATTGGCTCAATACGACACTGGTCGTCCTCATCCCAATCTATGGCCTCTATCTTTCCCTTTCTACACCCCTCACCCGTCCTACACTGCTATGGAGCATCCTTTACTATGCCACAACCGCCTTTGGTATCACAGGCGGTTACCATAGATTATGGAGTCACCGTTGTTACTCTGCACGTCTTCCTCTACGCATTTTTCTCGCATTCGTAGGGGCCGGTGCCATCCAAGGAAGCATACGCTGGTGGAGCGCTAATCACCGCGCTCACCATCGTTGGACTGATACCATGAAAGACCCATATTCGGTCATGCGGGGTCTACTCTTCTCCCACATTGGATGGATGGTCTTAAACACGGACCCCAAAGTGAAGGGACGTACGGATATTTCTGATCTGGACAACGACGCCATTGTCGTTTTCCAACACAAGCACTATGGCAAGATTCTTATTTTTACCGCCTGGATCTTTCCTGCATTAGTCGCTGGCCTGGGATGGGGAGATTGGTGGGGAGGTCTTGTGTACGCAGGCATCATTCGAGCGTGTCTCGTTCAGCAAGCGACATTCTGTGTCAATTCGTTGGCACACTATCTTGGAGAGCAACCGTTTGATGACCGCAGGAGCCCTAGAGATCATGTGTTTACCGCTCTCGTTACCATGGGAGAAGGCTACCACAACTTTCATCACGAATTCCCTAGCGACTACCGTAAGTCTGACCACCAAAAAAAGGTAGAGCCTATATTTAACAGATTCCAGGTAACGCTATCCTCTGGTACCAATACGACCCCACTAAATGGCTGATCTGGGGCATGTCCAAAATCCCCTTCTTCCCACTAACCCAAGACCTCAAGACGTTCCGCGCCAACGAAATCGAAAAAGGCCGTCTCCAACAACAGCAAAAAGCTGTAGACAAGAAACGCGCAGCACTCGACTGGGGCACCCCGCTTTCCCAACTGCCCGTCCTCTCCTGGGACGACTTTCAAACCCAAGCTTCTACAAATGGCGCCGCGCTGGTAGCTATTGCTGGTGTCATCCACGACATCTCGCCTTTTATCGCCGACCACCCCGGCGGTAAAACACTGATCAAATCTGCGATTGGGAAAGACGCAACTGCTGTATTTAACGGGGGTGTGTATGAACACTCAAATGCAGCACACAACCTGCTCTCAACGATGAGAGTAGGTATTCTGCGCGGAGGCCAAGAAGTAGAGGTCTGGAAATCGAGTGCGGAGCGGGCGTCTAAGGATGTTAGGGGTTTAGGTATTGTTCGGGCGGGTGAGCAGGCTACAAGGGTCGCGGCGCCGGCTACTGTGGCTACTGCGGCGTGATGAGAATGAGATAATGGTAACGAGCTCGTGGTATGGGAGTTGAAAATGTACATGTGATGTCATCTGAAATTCATTAGAAGCATATAGATGTAGAGATACCTGTCATCAATTCTACTCCGCCCTTGATTGCATAGACCGTCTTGTCTCGCTTTGTAAACCTGATATGCCAAGCGAATCAGATACTCCGAGAAGGGATGGAATCTCCGCTCGTCATGCTAGCCGTAGTCCGTTCCGAGAACTAACAAGGCAAACCTCGTCTTGGCAAATGCATCTCTGAAATGTGAAATTTAGTATCATCGATACGAAGGTATATATGATATGGTGCTTAGTAACGCCTCTGCCCAAACGCTGTTCACACCAATGATGTGTTTTCGCTAAATAGAGGAATAACCTACTATGGTGTCGAAATAACGGTTGGATCACGACGCAGATGTTTTCTTTCATGAAAAGATGTATTCATAGAGTAAAGCTTACTATAAGATATTGAGTCCCAAGAATTGATTGACGAACTTGACGCATGATTTGCCCTCAAACTGAGTAGCAGATTTTGTGTTGAAGAATCATGTGGAAAGCATGAAATAGGAAATGTTGAGAGGAGGATGAAATTGCAAAGGGGGAAACGCAGAAGATATTCCCAATCCGCTCAGCCGTTCTTGATTGCACCGAACAGGCAGAGAAAAACGGGGGGGAGAGAAATTGTGTGTTCGCAATAAAAATCAGTCTCTTATTCAGTGCCTCGGAGACCTTGAGACATACCAATGACGAGTGGATGTCCATAGTCCTTGCCTTTTCTATTTTCTTGGTGTTAGCATATCGTAAACAAGTTATTGTTCAATAGCCCTACATGTGTGACAAGGTTGGTATTATGCTCCGTTGACATCCATACTATCTCCCCTTGCTAGTTGTATCATTTCCTTAATCTCTTCTGCGTTCCGTTTGCTTTCCCCGTCTTGATAGATTTCGAGAACGGCCAATGTCATATCCGGGAAGAATTTTACAATTGATCTGGCATCCCATGAGGCAATTCCATCCCAATTTCCCCTTTTCCCATATATATCAACAAATAACTCTAACATTAGTTATTCGAGGCGAGATGTTGCGCATTCATCATGTAAGGTTGCGAGATATCTTCCTCTGACGGCCGACCCACCGATCGCCAGTTTGACAATTGTATCCACCACTTCCGTGCAAAAGCGCTCATCCTCAACTTGGATTCCAATATCATAAGCTTGGAAGATGTCCAAGACAGCCAATTCCCTTTTGGAAAAACCAAGATCTTCATCATCGCCATATCCTTGTTGTTGTTTTCCTTCTTCCAGATCTTATCTACGTGTGATAAGACGAGTGTAAAGCCAATCGTAATATATCTCAAAAGAAGCCGCACTCAATTCGCGCAATGACGCCCATTGATGGAGTTTGTGCTCACTCCATTTTTGTCGGCACAATGGACATGGTTCAGGTCCTTCTTCGGTTGGCTGACGTCTCCATTGATTGATGCACCCGAGATGAAAATTTCCCCCACAACTATTGCAGAATGTAATATCTTGAATATCGAGATCTAGGCCTCCATGGCAAATGGGGCAGTTGCCCTCAATATCTTGTCTTCTTGGCTGGAACTTTCGTCGAAAGAATTTTGAGTGAGCGCAAAGAAGGTCTGTGTGTATAGCGAATGTCTTTGTTGACCTTGGGAAACTCAATCGCACAATACCCTGACCATGCCTAACTTGGGATTAGTTTTTTTTTGGTATTTTCTCAAATTGCAATAAAATGGCATTGCGTTTGCTATAACTCGAAGTCGGATAACTGGATTGTAGATTGAACTTACTTCATGATTCCCTTGCTTGGCACTAAGCAGATATCTCTGTTCCACAACGACGGTGCAACAGCTCGATGTCAAAGTCTGTGGGTTGATAAGGTATAGACAAATGTTTGAAGATGTCAATTGGACGAAAGGTGGAAGGAAGGAACGAGCGAGGCAGACAATATTTATATACCTCGGTCGCAACAAGATCAAGAGCTTTCACCCTCGCAGGTGAGAGAGCCGGCTGCCTACTGGTGATTGTACCGACCCCTTCTCTCAATACAGTAAAGTAAAATCCAAACTGAAAAGGTTGAAACCGATTGCAGCTAATCTAATGTAGCCTGGAGAGGTTGAGAAAGCATTGAACGCAGTCGAACTTTATCTCACTCTCACCTTCCCGAAGAAGCTGAAACTAAGCAATTAGTGCAGCCAGCGGTAAACTAAAAGCAAATGGACTGGGGAGAGAATACAAAAGTAAATGTAAGAGATGATTGCTTAGTTGTGAGAGGAATTTACGACATGTATAGTGAACTGAGTCAAGGCACGATGCTAGAATGAGTCTCAGGCTACGATACGAGTGCACATGATAAACAAGCATGATGTAATGATTCATATAGCACTTTGTTGAACCCAGGAATGATTGTGCCAAGTATGTACGGCAAGCCCTCCCTCATTCATTCCATTTACTTGAAACTCAAGGACGATACGCAATCTTGCTTCCGAGTACCACATCTATGGAGAACCAAAGATTGCGAGACCATGTAAAGTGATGCTACTACAAAATCTTTCCATTGCATAGTCTTCAGTTAAGAGGAGAAGATACACGTGAATCTCTTCATGTTACATGTGTTGGTTGTCGAAGAAGATGTAATCAGCGCGTATGCACCTCCGTTGAAAATTCTTCCTACACTTCGTTCGAGTGAATTTCTTCTTTGGTCCTTGTCATCCATTCGTCGGAAACTTCATCGAAGGACATTATATCTACCGATTTGTTCAGTCTGTCCATCAAAACTAGAAGAAAAATAGTTAGGCAGGCCTCCCATGTAGTCTGAAAAGCAGCTCTCGTCATGATGTGCCAGGACAACATCGATCACAAGCTTCCGAATCTCATCGCAGCAATTTTGCTCCATGAAAGCCCAGTCTACGCTTTCCATGCCAAATAGTGCGTTCGACTTGTCGAAAACTGCATGTGTAACCTCCAATTTGAATAGAGCGTCTTTGAAGGCGTTGGCAACGGCCCACAGTTTGAGCAAGATGAGATTGAAAGGATCAGTTCTCTTTAAGATCACTGCCGGAATTTCAAATGTAGATGCGTATACCCAGTCCATGTAAATCTGCACAGCCTCGGCATCGATTTTAGTCTCTACGTCCAGATTGGAGAGGGGTGAGTCTGTCTTCCAGCTGACGCGGCACATTGGACAGTTTGCTGGTGAATTCTTTCTCCTAGCGGTTCTTCTATAGTTCTTCCAGGTCTCCATACATGATTCATGGAAATTTTCGCCGCATTCGGTGCAGAAGGAGATGTCTTTGATGACGGGATCGAGGGTATCGGTGCAGATGCAACATTGGTCAGTTGGGGACGTGGGTTTGCAATATTTTTGGAGACGGTCTCTGAAGCATCTTGAGGTCTTGCATATGCGATCTAAATTGTAGGAGCTGATCAGCTTGAGGCTAATATTCTGGCGTGATGGAGTTTGAGTACCTTCGTGGACACTGAAGCATCGTTTTATATTGGAAACCTTGAAGTGAACAATCCTGTTGCCGACACTTGCAGATATCAGCATCCGATTGATCTGCGGTAGAAGAATCAATGATAATACCTGATTAATTCCAGCTTTCTGGAAGCGCCTTGGGACCTGGTAGGCGCCATCTTTGTAGGTGGAAATGCCGTAAATGATGACAGCGGGGAGTGGAAAGAAACAAGGTATGTGATGTGGGAAAAGCTATAGCCAAACCGACGGTGTGAAAGTGAGACCTCTAGTAGATCGTTTTGTACTGGTGAACCGAGATTCCCGGTGAGAGCATTGTATGAAGACCACAGGAGCACATTACTACTTTCAGGTTGTGCCAAGACACTAGGCTGGTACGACGAGTGATCACGGTGAATCGGGTTCCTTTTTTCCAATTTACTAGGTTGAAACATCTTTCATAGCTTCTTGTAAATCTTCGGCATCGCCATCCGCAAGCCATGTGCCCATGTTGCAATCGCTCATAAAACCTATGCTGCATTCTTGGAGGGCACAAGTAATCTAGGCTGAATCGAAACAGTTGTTTTCAAACTCTGCAAAAGAAGACAACCGTTCAGTAACTGCAGAATTTCCAGAATCAGCATCCTGAAGTATGTGTGTCACTTTCCAAGCCCCAAGTAGCTTCAAGTTGTAGTCATCGACTCCATGAACAAAAGCTTTGCTGATTGAACCTCCTATCTTCTCTGTTGCACGGCAGCTCTTGCGAGGACTGTCTCGGTGGGTGATAGCGGAAGGTATTGCGATCATGATGAACGCATAATGCCAGTGGTGATAACAATCGAGGTTATGAAGCCAACACGCCGTCGTAACAAAAGCAGGTTGCAATGAGGAGGATCTCGCAATGGTCGCATGCGTTGAGAGAGTGCTACACAACGGATGAGAATCAAGAGCATCAACAACGATACGCACGTGCTGATCCAGCCAAAGTTGATGAATGGTAAATGAAACATTTCATCGGGTATCTCATAGTTCCTGCCTCACGTGATCAGTGAAACAAGGTCGAACTTCCGCAATTCTTGCATAGCCATGGAAGACTCTTTCGGTTTTCATGCGCCGGGTCAAGATGCTGCCAGTATGAGGATCACACCAGGCATCATGCTGAGTAAAGACAAGTCGAAGCGAGGTTCAGACACCAATGTACCAAAGTTCGACACCCAGGACCTCAAATTTCTTGCCCTCGTCGCTGAGTGGTTCGTTTCCAAATGTTGGACATGTGTCTGACACACCGTTCTCGAGATTGTCATCTAGCCACAGGCCGTAGTGGCCATCACTGAGATACTGTCAGTATTGTCGTTCCCAAAGGATAGCAAATGTCAGCTTACCCTCCACCAACACTAAGATAGCTATGTTCGCAGAAAATCATGTAGTCATTCACTCCACTATAGGGGAATGCCTTGAATCTGATCCTCTCTGGCGTACTTGCACCACTTCTGGTCGCCTGACCATTCTCTGATAGGGCTAACTTATCGGCTTTTGTCTTTGGTGATGATATGGTTGTCATGCGAACAGCATTGGTTGTATCTTCTGAGGGAGGTGGTGGGAGATTTAATTGCAGATCTGGGAGACCAGCAAGAACGTGAGCGCGCCAGAGAAAGCATTCGCCGTTGCCATAAAACGACGAAGAAGGGTGGGGTGCGTCTGAGAGATAGGCACCGAAGGTCTGTGGCAACATATCAGTACTGTTTTTTTTACTCGAGGAAGGCTGGGCGACTTACGCCTCCACTACCATCTCTGACTACAAGCACGAAGCCGCCTCTCCTCCCCCGGTATTCGTCAGCCTCTTTGTAAAGAGTCGCCAAGCTCACACCATTCTGCTCCAGGCTGTACGTCAGGCTCCATTCATCTACGAGTTGTAGCCTTGGCGGCAGGAGCAGCCTAATTTCTTCTGCCAGCGCTTTGCTTAGGAGCTTGCCATTTTCTCGCATTCCACTTCTCCACCCCTTTAAACTGAGCGGTGTCAACGGCGGCGGTTGGAAAGGGCTCGCTATGCGGTGTGTGGGTTGGAAGACGGCGTTCATGTCTGCGGAATCGGAGGAGACGAGGCTCGCGAGGGAGTGGGAGAGGGCAGAAGCAGTGGACTGCAGCTGTGCTGGTAGCCTGCCTATGCTGTTTCGGTTGCTGTTGCTGTCGGATTTTGAGTGAGGTCCTGGATTGGGACTGGATTCGGTGTTCAATCGCCGCAGGATGCCTGAGACGGCATATGAGACTGGGTATGTGAAGTAGGACGAGGAGCGATTTGGCGTGGCGCGATTTGGTGGCGGTGATGTTTGGGAGGATGAGCAGCGCAAGGGTGGAGACGACGGGGTTTCTTGTGCATGCGACATGACTGGCGGGTAGCAGCAATTGTAGCAGTGTGCCTGGATTAATGTGGGTCAAGTGTTGGAAGTGGTGTGCTGGGGTGGGCGTAGGTCAGAGCAGCTGTGACGTTGCGGAAAACTAGTGGGCTGACGGCTGTCTGGAGCCTCACACGGTATGCAAGGGGAGTGCGTGTTACATAAGCATCGTCTTGGAATGGGCTGATACATGTTTGGGGGCTACGCTGGAAGCCAGTGACAGCGAGCTACGATACGGGGATGCATGCTCAATGGTTGCGCGCCTCTCTGCTTCCTTGATGTGTAGGCGTGAGAGCGCGCTAGTACGGCGGTGGAAAGCTTGGTTCCCGCTACCCGCTAAGGCTGACCTTGAGCCGTCCATGGGGAATCGGCACAACCTTTGCATTGCATGCGGCCATTGGATACAAATGGCTAAGCCCGGAATCGCGGAAAGCCATGCTTCAGAGAAACACTGTCACTCCCTCACTTGATAGAGAATTCGGCATTGGGGACCCGGCCATGTTGCCCCCGCTCCTGCCAGCATGCAGTGCAATTAATACACCACTTTGCCTTGACTACTACCTCTGTTGGCCCCCAGATGTGTGCTAATCAATCCTGTCTATTCGCAACACCATGGTAGGTGACTTTATCCAATAGAGCATCCTTATGTAGCTTTGGCGGGTTCTGTCATAAGTTGCTCGTTCACTGCTTCTGCCTCTTCCGCCGCATCCGCATCCGCATCCGCATCCGCAAGCTCACAATCTCCAGCATCTTTCCCGTCGTCTTCAGCAGCCCCTGCTTCCTCTCCGTTCTCCATGTCACTCTTCAACCTGGCGCCTTTTCGCTCTGGCATGACAGCCATGAAAGCCTTGCCCCAATCCCCAAACTCCATCCATTTGAGCATAATCTCCAAGACGTGATTCGTGACCAGGACTTGTCGACTCTTCATTTCCAAATATTGGCCAATAGGTAACTTTGCCGTCTTGATACCACGACTGACAGCTCGCTTGTGGCAGACGCCTTTGTGCCGGTTCTTGTCCACTAGACCCCCAATAATGTAGGTACTATTTGGCTTGAGATGTGTTAAGATCTCGTCCGACTCAGATGAAAGATAGACAATCTCTCCTTCCTCTGCATCTTCCATGATTTCTTGTTCACCAGACTTATCCGCTTCTTGAGACGTCTTCAATGCGCCGGCCACCTCCCCTCCTTCCGGCCCACTCATCCATTCTTTCGCCTTCTCCGCCACTTCCACAAAGTCTTCTTCAAAGAATCGGAAGCCTTTCCAGCTGGTATATTGCTTTGCGAGAATACCATCGAAACGCTCCTTCATCTTGCCTCCAAAGCTACTTAATGCTAAATGCGCTCTGAAGTCTGCCTTTCGGTTGTCGCTGTAGCATCTCGTAATCTGCAACCCCAAGCTCTTAAGTTCATTGTCAAACATGAGCTCCTCAAAGTCGCAGTCGAAGATGACAGTGATGGGTACTTGCTTTCCAGGTCCTGCTGAATGCCTGGGAGGACGTGCCGGTAGCAGCCTTGGTTTGTTGCCATTTTCGTCTACGGGCATCTGTGCCAAAGCCTCTCTTCGCCGCTCTTTCTTTTCTTTGACCTTCTCTTTTCGCTTCAATTTACGATCTTCTCGCCCCGCTTCCCAGCGTTCATGCCGCCGTTGCTTCTTGAGTTGGTTCTTCGATAACTTTGGCTCTCCAATTTCCTTCTCAGTAACTGTCTCAATTGAAGACTCAGCGCTGCCAACTGTTCCCTCATTCTCGGTGTTCGTGAAGACATGATCTGTGGGTGTCGTGACTGCGGGTGCATCTTTGATAATTTCATCACCACTTGCAACGTCCAACTTGCGCATCTTTGCAGGCCGCTCCTCTGAATCCATCTTTTTGCAGTTTTTAGTGAATGGTTGAAAATCTGTCGAAAAGACGCTCACCCACTCATCGTCGACAAAATTATGCTCGCTCACATCTTAGCGCGCCAAGCCACGCCCTGGTCATGGCAGTGTCCCGAGCTGGAACCTCAGTTGACGTCTCCGCATTCACGATACCCTTCCAACACCAATTGAACCACGAACACAACCGCCCATCATGCCGCAGGACATGCCGCCACAGGGCGGCTACAGCCCCGTCCAGTACAAGCGCAACTTGCCTGTTCGAGGCTTCCGTCCCGCCGCATACATTATCGGAACCGCGGCACTCATGACATACGGATTCTGGAGGGTTGGCCAGGGTATCAGGGAGCACAAGTACGCGGCATTCCCCTAAAAAGATAGATTGGCGATTTCATCGCTCGGGACTAAATGCTGACATCTGACAGCGAACTCGCGCGCGAGAAGATGTGGGCGCGGATACACCTTATCCCAGCACTACAAGCAGAGGAAGATCGTGACCAAGTGCGAAGATATCTGGCCGACAAGGCAAGGGAGAAGGAACTATTGGGAACAGAGACAAAAGTCTATAACAGCGACAGGTATGTATCGAACGGACCTGTGATGCTTGCACGAGCATTGACTAACTGCGCGGATACAGATTTGTTCGACCTACATTTGCCATCACACCCGAGCACGAGACCAAATAGGGACCGGAGTATCGCTGTACATATCAGGATGAAATTAATGGTCTCTGTCCAGCCTGATATTCATCATCTCTTTAGAGGCAAGCCAAGAATACATTTATTCGCTCAAGGACTTGATGTTCGTACACGGACCTAGATGTGAACATGGGAATTTCGTCATCGCAGAGATCCAGTTGCTCAAATGCTATGGCTGTGGAACAGCTGTGGCTTTGATGGTGATGCTGAGTGTTGGACCATCTGCGACAGGCTTGTGTATTTTCTGCTGAGCTGAATTGCACTTTGCAGATCTTCTGTATTGACGAACGGCAGTTCACGCAACAACTTAACCACTTCAACGCGCTGCTCTGAGCAAGTGGTGCGATACACTCTACAAAATCTCTGTCTGTTCTCCCCTGTCTCACCACATCAACCATGCGCTCTCTTTCAATTTCATCTGTACAATATCATGCCACATTGATTTACCTCGGGAAGATAGTGTGGTGTTATGTCTGACTAGACTGTTCACAAAATCTTTCGCCGCTTCTAAAGACACAGTGTCCGCGCCCACATTGACTTACATTCATCCCACAGCGACTACTAGTGATGTCATTTTCACTCATGTTGAGGATGACCAGGAAATCATCATAGCCAAGGGAACTGATGCCTTTTTGAGTTGACTGTTCCACTCGCTACCTTGGCTCGTCACCAATACAGCGTCAGCATATCTTCCTCGCAGCCATACCCAAATCCTCATGTCTACTTATACACGTTGCAGCCGTTGGCCATGGACAACGCTGCACTCATTGATTGACTCGGTATATTGATAGGGCTTGCATATATGAGATTGCGCATTATATCCTCAATTGCAATTTTGGGTCGAGTAACGGAGCATTTTGCCTGTAAAATATTTCTGATTAAGCCGGAGGCCTTGACATACCTCCTACAAAATATTCATAATTTGATTAAGATACGCAGAATCTATTCCGACATGACGCGCGAAGTCTGGAATAATAGTTAGTGCTCGATTATAATGGAAAGTGGTACATATCATTCCAACTGGATGGCGTTTTCAGATGATCAGAAGTATGGAGGCCGACCGTCAACGCAGATATGCATAGATAGGGCAAAAGGCAAACGGGGGCTGTTGCATTGGCCAGCCTTAGCTTGGGAGGTAGTAACGGTGTATTTGGTAATACAAAGGGCCTGCACAAGTCGCTTGAGAGCGTACGAGATTTTAACTGATGCTGCATTACGATTATTTCCAATACGTTGCTTTGAGTAAATGCACTAAAGAAAATGTGGTTGGCTTGCCATGTACCAGCATATGGTGTCCTGTGAAAGGTGACGCAATGTGTCCTGGCCTACAACCATCAGCGTATTGGAAATGAAGGCTTTGCAGTCACGGCATCGATCCAACCCAGGGGCTTCCACTTCGGCTTCGTGTATTTTTTCAGGAGAGTTTCACTTTGGAACCTCGGTACAGTATCTACGTATTGCTGTACCAATGATACAGCTTGCTAATGGACGTATACTCATTGATCAGTCGTCGGCTGTGGTGGCATCATAGGCAGCAACTCAGCGACCCATAATCGCACTGAGAACACGTAGCGTCGCATAGCGTACGCATGCGTATAAATATCATGTTCCTCGCATGTCCATCTGGTTAATATGATCTTTCATATCTTATCCCTTCAACCTCCTCTCTATTACACATCTCTTCTGGCAATTATGCCGCCCTTCTCTTTCTACCTGCTATTGACGTAGCCTACCCTCGAGCGGCCAAATCTATCGTATCAACAGCCGATCTCAGTCGGCATAGATTTCAACGCAATAGTTGTTTTCTATAATATACAACACTGGATACCTTTCTGGCTATATGATATTTACCTTTATCTATTACCGGGCTTCTGTTACACTGGATACCTATCTGGAAGTTGCTTTATGGCGACCATTCGCTCCAACAAAACATATCAACCAGTTACAACTTGGAGAATCCCAGCACGGCTACGCGACCCTTTTCGATAATGCAGAATCATACGCAGCTATGCATATATGGATGCCCATAAATTCGCCATATCTTCTATCCGTCCCTCTCATCTCATCACTGCAGCACAATCATTCAAACTTGATCTCGAAGTACCTCCCATCAACACCATGACGAACTTGTATTCTTGGCTCTTATCCCCTTTCTCTTTCTATCTTATATCGATGAAGACCACCAATTCCCCACATACTACGATGGCTTCCTTTAATCCTCCACCTAAAAAGATCCACGACGACATGGAGAGGTGGATAATGGATAGGTTCGACAGACTAGAAGCTGGCCCAGACTCTACTGGCCTAATTGATCTGAGTGATACATAGTATATATTAAGGAGGCTATCAGAATCAGGACTTGAGCCGGAAACTCGCCGGTGGCTTCAAGAAGACATCGACCACCCCCTCCAGGCTATGAATGCTATATATCAAACCGATCGGCAGAGGAACTTAGCTGAGAGGCTGTGGTCGGAGGAGAGCAAAGAGTAGATGGGCATGGTGCTTTGGTTCTATGGCAAAGAGCTGGGTGTTCGCTAGGAGTATAAGGATGAGAATGGCGTCGCAGACATGTCGTTCAGATTGGTGCGAGACGGTGTCGATGGACAGAGTTGGAGACTGTTGTCATCTGCTATACCTATTAATTTCCATAGGTCAGACTCTACTAGCCTGATCGATCTGAAAAGTCTCCGGCGAATGGACGAGTGCGCATTCGCCGGATACTTCTTAAGTCGATTAGGCTAGTAGAGTTCAGGCTTGCTTCTACTCTATCGAAGCTATCGATTATCTACCTCCATATATCTCTGAGGATTCCTTAAGATAGTTCATACAAAAAAAGCTATAGTATGATTTGGAGATATAGTTGTCTCCATTAATAGTTAAAAAGATGCAAATAAAGGTCAGAAATAGAAAAGAAAGATCAATATTATTATGAGCTGATCTAATGAAGTATCATGTGGACGGGTGAGTGGAATGCTGGGCTACAATATAAGTCTCAAGTGTAGATGTTCGTAATATATTATTACCATAATCGATCCACAGAAGGGATGACAAGAGAGAAGAGAGGGGAATGATGCCAGCGAAGTTCATCATGATGGAATACCATATCATTAGTCAAGCATAGTGTATGCTTATTCATGCAGCTTCGCTGAGCCGGTCTTAGATAGATTGCTTGCTCCAACGCCTAAAGCTTTCCTGGATTGACGCCCCAACCATGCAAAGTGCCCAATGGTTGCAGACTCATCAGGCGTATCTGGTGGTAAGCGAGTCTTTGGCAAACAATTTCCAACTTGTCGCACACGATATCTTAAGTTTTAGAGCCTGATGGTAGAGCTTCGAACCAAGCCTGACAGAGCGCATATCCGATGAGTACTTGTTGTCGATGAAAGCTTCGACCAAATTATTCCCGAATGTAAATAGCATATGGGACAGAACAGTGACCCAACTCTTGTTTTCATGTTTTCACCACATGTTTGCCACTAAGCGGCGAGCGGGTGAGTACTCGGGGATACCCGTGTACATGATGGTGGATGTACTGACGCTTGGTTCCCAACGATTGCCAGTGTTACCGATGGGTCTCGCCTCGACAAGAGCATCTACGACGGCGTTCTTGAAGCCATTGTCCATGAGTCTTCATCGAGGAGATCGACGATGCGAGACGAGAACAGTGGCTGGGACGAGATTCGCTCCAGGGCTTTTTCAAAGAATTTTGAACTTTTGCGAAGCCTAGCTAAGTGGACCGTATATTGTTCTTGAGTGGTTACAACACTGATTATGACACTGTCGAACATGCTAGAAAAGGGCTGGTGGTATGGATGTTGTATGCAAATATTCAGCTCACTTAGAAGCAGCCTTCCGCAGAATGCGCCCATACTGTGACTTGGGGTTAGTAGACATATTCTCGGTCTGTGTTGGATAGAGTGTCCAGAAACGGAGTTGAAAGAGGCGATCGGCTGCTTGGAAAAGGCTGAGCAATAACAGAAGAAGATCAATGCAGGAATGAGCCAAGTCCGGGTCCAGGGAAGGTGAGAGTGAAGGTAAAGGTAAAGGTAAAGGGGAAGAGATGGCGACCAACTTTGGCCGTGACCGTAGCCAGGCCAGCACCTCTTCCGTCTCTTGTATTTTTGTACAGTATAGTAGTACAGTGGCTGCTCGTTAGTCTCATGACCATCGAATCTTGTTCTTCCACTGGTCGACCTTGGACTGCCACCATGTCTTGTTGGGGGCGCGGTCGATTTCTTCCATCAACTTTGTGTAGTGCTCGGGAGCGGACGTCGGCTTGAACATGGCCGGTGACAGGGCATATTTTATGGTATATCTGTTCTCGAGCAACGAGTAGAGGGCGTTTACTTGGGCCTGCTCGAGTTTGGGATTTGGTGGGGGTGAAGAAGTGGCTGGAGCTGTGGCTGAGGCTGCTGGCGACTGTGGCTTGGGGGCGTCATCGGAGGGAGGAGTGATGGGCTGCACACCAAAAGGCTGGCCGTGGTGCTCGATTGCGCGGGTGAAGGGCAGGTTTGGGCGCAGGGCATCCTTTGGCCAGAGAGTGAGGAGGCGCGTGTATTGCTTTGCTATCTTGAAATGAAACGATGAGCTGTGGGCACGTGACGGCGTTGGAAGAAGGTTTGCTTACTGTTGTTGTCATGGTTGTGTGTGTGTGTGTGTGAAAGAGAGAGAGAGGGAGATAGAGAGTGATTGAAAGATGCAGTACAGTAGCAGTCCAGTCAATGTGTGTGTATGTCGGGGTGGGTGAATGTCAAAGAAGATCAAAGACCATGGCCAAGAGTGCAAATCCTGTCATCAATGATGCTTTCTCTCTCTAGCACAAGCAGCCGGGGTCGGGAGCAGCGGGTCTGTGCGGACAGAGAGAGAGGGGGGGCGTGGCGCAGCACCCGCACTTCCATGGCCCAGAAGAGACAAGGCAGGGCGCGGTGCATTTGAAACGCCGCCTCTCACTCTACTGCTGCGCTTGCCGCCTGACACGCCTCTGCTTTGCTTTGCTCTGCTCTGCTTTGCTTTGCCGCCCTCCGTCCACTCTCTACGCTCGCTGTCCTGCTCCTTTTCTCCTCTTCATCCTCTGCCTGCGCCTGCCGACTCTCAACACCAGAACTGCCCCCTACGCCTCCTCATCGCTGCATCCGACCCTGCGCCACCGCGTCTGCCTGCTGCACACCATGCCCAGCCAGCGCTACGAGAGGGTATGCTCCCCTGCCTCAGGTCGTGGGGAACGCATCGTGCCACTGCGCAAACCTCCCCCGACTCGTTGCTCTCACGACACCCAAACTAACACAGGCCTCAGGTAGCCGCCCAGGACGAAGACGACTCTCACGCATCGTCGACATCGGCCCAGCAGTGGCCCCCGGCCTCGCCACCACCCTCCTTTCACTCGCGCGCATCATCCCCCAATGGAACCACACGACGCCTCTTAGCGCAGGACCCGGCACCCACGGATGAAGACCGCACTCTCGCAGACACATTTGATTCCGACTCAGACGACGACGACGATGACAATGGCGACGATCGACAGCGCTTGATGCGGGGAAACCCCCGAAGCGAGGACGAGCCTCCAGCCCCCGGCATCCAAAGACGAGTCACCGAACTGCCAGTATTCAACACACAGGCTCCCGCCAGTGGCCGCGTCTACGGCGGTGGCAATGGCGGCGTGTGGGCAAATCTCAGCGCAAAGCCAACTCGGGGTGAGGATGCCGAGGAGAAGCCTCCGGTACGTCTTGTGTATCACCATCTCAATTTGTCCATCCCCCACTAACACCACTCCAGACATACGAACAAGCCGCCGCAGATGCAACACCGCCTTACTGGGAAACAACCATCCTCGCCCCCGGCACCTTTGGCGACGAAGTTTTTGTCGAGGGCCTTCCCGTAGGTTCCCTCTTCAGTTTCCTCTGGAACGCCATGATTTCCATGTCCTTCCAACTCGTCGGCTTCCTGCTTACCTACCTGCTCCACACCACCCACGCTGCAAAGAATGGTTCCCGTGCTGGTCTTGGCATCACACTTGTGCAGTTTGGCTTCGGTTTCCGCTCTGCAGTACTCAACCCCAGCAACGGCAGCAACGACAACCCAGGCCAAGGCTTCAACGGCGGCGTTCCAAGCGATCCAAACTCGCACGACTTTGACCCGGACAAGGTCAGCACGGGCGGCTCTGCTGGCACTGGTGGTGACTCGACGCCTGCGTCAAGTGCCATTACCGGCAGCGATTGGGTAGCCTATGGCCTAATGATTGTTGGCTGGTTCATTTTGATCAAGAGTGTGTCAGACTTCATTCGCGCCAGGCGGCACGAACAGCTGGTTCTCCAGTCTCCAGATCGTGGCTTGGGTGTTGCTGTAGTTGCCGAGGGGGAAAGTCCAGAGCGCAGTGTATAGAACCTTTCTATTTCTCGCTCTTCTTTTTTTCCCACTATCTCTCCATATGACATATAGCCTCTGATTGGCAAACTATTTCCCCTTTATTGTCTTGTCACGCCCACTCAGAGACTCTCTCCCTCTCTCACACATACATACACAGCGTATTCCCTAGTTTGCATCTTGAATCGGAGTTTTGATATTTCCAGGGTAGGGGTCAACAGGAAGCAAAGACACATCAGGTCCTTGTACATCAGCCATGGCTGTTCTGTCTGTAGCACGCATCAACTACAACGTTTTTTTTCCTCTACTATTCCAACCTCATACTTGCCATTTGACAGTGTTTATGCCATTATTTTAGTCAGGTGAAGTGTATGATTGCAAGCACAGAGTGATGCTGACCATGGTGGTGTACATGAAGCTGTATACTAAGAGAAAAAAAAGTCTATTACTGTTGCTGACAGTCGAAATTGTAAGAGTAAAAAAGGGGGTATCTGGATGCAAGAAGGGGAAATAAAAAAAATCCCAAAGCGGGAAAAGAATAATAATACCGCCCCAGTCCCTGAAATATCTTTTGTGAAACATTGCACCCAGCCGCCTATGTTGCTGGACTACGAGTGCATAGATCACATGTTACTTTTCTTCTTTCTGCTCACATTACGTTGCACTTTTCATTGGCATACACCTCGCCATACTGGTCCACACCGGCCATCTTTTCATTGTACCGCTGCTTGTCCTTGACTTCCTCGGGGAACCATTTCTTAAGAAATGCCGCCTTTTCCGTGTCTAGGTTGTCTATGGGGTAATGACTTGGTTAGTTTTTGGTACAGACAAAGCAAAGAAGAAAACAACAAAATCAACAAAGACTCACCAGAATTGGCATCAAATATTGTCTTTTGCCTGCAAAACGGACAGTTGTACTGCTTGTTGTTCTGCATGACAATCAAGCATCGGATGCAAAACGTATGGTTGCAGCTCAGCTTGACGGGCCGCCATTGAATCTCCATGCACATGGGGCACGAGTAGTCGTCAATTTGCGGCACATGCGACAGAATCTGTGTGTTGACCTCTGCGCATACCGCCTTGGCTAGGTGCTCCGAGAATTCTGGATACTCGACTTGACGCGGAAACGTGGACTTTACCCCCAGCGCTGTACGCTTGTCGAATTCTGTAGAAATATTAGTCGGTAATTGTCATGCTGTGCTTTGAGACAGGCCTCTCGAACCAGGATAAAAACAACCGGGGGGAGAATGACATACTCTTCAAAATCTTCATCATGGCATTATGGTTAATTTCGCCGAATCGTAGGCCCTGCAGAATCTCGCGGTTAATGTGCATAAACGTATTGAGGGCGGTCAAGTTGTCCTTCTTCTTCAATTGCTCGACGAGACCGGCCTTTGCAATCTTGTTGGAAAAAGTGGCGAGCCGTGCCATTGCTTTTTCCGAATCATGCGACTTGTGATCAAGCTCCGTTGTGCCAAAGAAGATGCCCTCTTCGACATAAATCTGGAAGATTTTGCGCCAGGTGGTGAGCATCTTCCTTGTTGTTCGCCGGTCCGGGTCTGTCAGCTTGGCAACCTGCTTGCCGAGAGCTTCAATCTGGACATTCATTCTCTTCTGCTCTCGCTCCTGCAGCCTCTCGAGCCCAGAGACCTCGCTGGTGAGACGAGTGAAGAATTCCGTGTCGGAAGTGATTGGCACTAGGACGGTGCGACAGCCAGGTCGATTGCCGGGCGTGTTTGCAGTCGTGGGGGATTCGGGAGTGTCTGCAGAGTGACAAGACAAGTCGGAGTCGTCGAGCACGCGCATGTCGGACATGCCCGTCTCAACGGCCAGCAGATGCAGCTTGTTCCTCGTGTCATTGTCAAGTTTGGCGCCCATGATCTCTCCGCTCGTCTCATCTACATAGAAGAGGAGCTTTGGGTGAAAGGCCTTTGGCGACTGCGAGGCGCCGTTATCATCATCATAGGAGCCGTGGGGATTGAGAATGTACTCAAAGGGCCGTTCCTGGTCGTCATGGTGCTCGGTCGAGGCATTGTAGTCCTCGACATGCCTGAGCAGCTTGGACAGTGTGGGCGGGTCTAGACCGACCTGCTGCAGCTCGTCGGTCAGCCTCTTGATGCATTTCTTGAGCTGCGAGTAGGAGATAGCCGAGTCGACCCAGTCGGGCGGGAATCCTTCGTCCCGCAGGGTCTGCTTGAAGACATGGCCGAACTTCATGGCTGGCCAGCTATTACTATATGTAGTATGCGTGTACCAGGGAAGCTGGAGCCGATGGGCAGGAAGCGTCGACAGGGCTGGCCGGTCAGAGGAGGCGGACGGCGCACGTGGGGGAGATGAGTGGTTCAGAGACCGGGCGGGGTCCGTGGCGAACCAAAGCAGAAGAAAACGCTGCCAAAGCCCTGATGCAGTTCCGTGGGCCGTGTGGCTGGGGCGTGGCTGTGATGACCGGCCTGGATGCGCCTCACTAGGTAGTATGTAGTAGCGAGTGTGTACGCAGAATGCACTGTGTCGTTGTGGGAGTGGGTATGTAGTAAGGAGGAGTGAGTACGGGGGGTGCCTGGGGCGGTCGACGGTAAGCACCAGAGGAAAACGAGAGAGAATATGGCGCCGACAAATGAGCGATTAACGACGTTCCAGCCAACTCGAGCAACAACGGACTGGTGTTCTGTTTGCCATACACACACACACGTACGTTGGGTCGCTGTGAGTTGGATACGGCAATGCCTACTGAAAATGCTTCTTCCGTCCAACACGTGGGAAAGCGGCGCTTTTAAACAGAAACGCAGAAAAAAACCGAACATGCATACTTTTGCACCGGTCGTCGGTCGCCTGTCGCCTCGCTAGACGTGCGGTGGCTTGTTGATATAGCGCGGCCTCGTTCGCTCCTGGTCACTTCTGCGTACAACTTTTTCGCCTGCGCCACCGTCCACCAATCAGCGGCCAGTCGCCGCACAGTCATCGCCGCGTCTCGGTGATGACGCGACTCATCCATGCACATGTGCGACAAAACCACACTTACCATGCCTTGGGCGCATCCCACTTGCTAAGCCCAGGGAAGCTCAAAAGGCAGCCATAGTGTGGCAAGGGCACTTCGCCAGGTTTCCGGGAAGATATACTACCATACACACATACATAGACCCACCCAGACTAGTAGACAACCTCGACCACGGCAACACAGAATCAAGCCAGAGGAAGTACCAACACCACAAACACTCATTTAGACGTTTGCTATAGATCCCACCAGATAGAGTTGACACGCTCAGCATGGGCGCATCGCAGTCGTCTCAAGGCGACGAGGCGTCCGCAGGTGGCCAGGTCAAGACGAGCTACTATGAATTGCTAGGAGTGGAGCGCAATGCCACCCAAGACGAGTACGTCACCATGGCCTCTTCGAGCCTTCACTACTGATCCCTCGCAGGCTCAAGAAAGCATACCGCAAGAAAGCCCTCGAACTTCATCCAGACCGCAACTATGGCGATGTCGAACGCACTACTGCTCTCTTCGCCGAGGTGCGAGCCGCTTACGAAGTCCTATCAGACGACCAGGAGCGCGCATGGTACGACGCCCACGAGGGAAGCATCCTAAGAGGGGGCACTGGAGAGGAAGATGCTGGCGAGCACTACCAGGGCAGCATGCGTGTCACCACCGCAGACGACCTGGCGCGGATGATGGGCAAGTTCCGAGGAAACGTAGACTTTTCCGACTCACCCAACGGCTTCTTTGGCTTTGTCAGAGAGACATTCGAGCAGCTCGCTCGCGAGGAAGAATATGCAGCAGACTACGAAGACATCGATATACCAAACTACCCCTCGTTTGGCCATAAGGAAGACACCTACGACGGTGTCGTGCGTGACTTCTATGCCGCCTGGAATGGATTCGCTACAGCCAAGAGCTTTGCATGGTTGGACATGTACCAACTGTCCCATGCCCCCGATCGCCGCACGCGCAGACTGATGGAGAAAGAAAACCAAAAGCTTCGCGATGACGGTAGACGAGAGTTCAACGATGCTGTCCGGACGCTGGTCGCCTTTGTACGCAAGCGAGATCCACGCTACACGCCCAACAGCCAGACGGATGAGGACAAGGCCAAGGCGCAACGGGACGCGCGCAAGGCCCAGGCTGCACGAGCAAGGGCTGCTCAGATTGCCAAGATGGAAGAGGAGGCGCAAGCAGTCCCAGATTGGGCCACAGCACGTCCGGATGACGAGCTGGACGAGGAGAGTGAAGAGGAAATCCAAGAGGAGCACTACGAGTGCGTAGCCTGTAACAAGACGTTCAAGAGTGAGCGGCAGTACGACGCGCACGAAAAGAGCAAGAAGCATCAAAAGTCCATACAAGTACTGAAAAGGAAGATGCAAAAGGACAATGCAAATCTCGACTTAAGCCAGGATGCTTTGAAAGAGAATGTTGTAACACTAGCAGATGCAGATCTTGAAACAGATGCCACTACTCCAGAAATGAACGGTTCGGATGGGTTCGTTGAAGAGGTTACGGAGAAGACGGGCAAACTTGGAGTGGGAGATGACAACACAGACGATGAAGAGCTACAGTTGACGGAAAATGCGTCCGACAACAAAGCCACCGAGCCACACACCACCTCTGGACCAGTATCGGCATACAGTGACGACGACGATGTTGATGATGATGAGGAAGACGACGAATATGCCTCGCGGTCGGAAATTGAAGCGCGTCTGGCAGGTTTCAGTAGCAAAGAGTCGCCTAATGCCAAACCCGTTGAGGAGCTTGAGATCAAGTCGACGGATGATGCACAGCCAGAAGGCGTTGCAGCGACACAGCCCAAAATGGGCAAGGCTGCACAGAAGCGGGCAAAAAAGGCGGCCAAACAAGCAGAAGTGGACGATAGTAACGCAAAGATGAAGTGCGCCGGGTGCAATGCGGGATTTCCATCCAAGACCCAACTGCATCAACACTTGAAAGACCATCCCGGACATGCCGCGCTCAAGTCTGTAGCTGGCGGGAGCAAAAAAGGAAAGAAGCGGTAGAGCATGTGATTGATTGCATGAGCTATGATGGATATCGAGAGCACATTTTGCATCGGGCAGTGTCATTGGTGTATTTGTATGGCTTCAGCATAGCGTAGGCGTTTGATAGAAAAGTTTGTGCTCAGCCTGGTGGGCTTTTGGAGCAGCATTTACGTGTCGACATAGATTCTTTTTGTTTTACTTTAGTTTTAACAGGTGTCTATGTCTTGACGTGCGGATGATAGTATAGTGTTGGCTTGCTTTTTTACACTTGCTTTGCAAGGTAGTCATGTTTTGTTGTCCATGGAGCGTTCCAGATGGCTGGGGCCGTGTTCAAGAAGCTGCTGTGTTGTGCTTGTGCGTTTAGAGTCCAAGTAGACGTGTAGGCAAGTTTAACGACATTGACTTTTATCAATTGCTTGGTTGGGACAATGCATGTCTCCGATCTCGTCTAGACTCTTGAGCTCATATTAGTATGTGTTCTTGGAAGCTACTAGGTACGTGGCTATTCCGGGCTGGCTCTCACACGTGGCGTTGGGTTGATCAAGTGCGCGGTACCTTTTCGGTGGCTCTCTGAGTTTCTGGAATGTAACGATACAATTACACCGGCAACTAGCTCGTCACATGGTACCTTGGGCGCCATATTGCCACAACACTCGACTTGTGGCATGTATGGACGTGTACATTATCTCAACAAATAGACTGAAGAAAAGAAAAAACATTTCATTCGTATTGCTAGCACGGGTGAACCAGCGTTGCGATGGAGGCAGATGGCGACTGCGTACGTGTGTACGTAAGAACAAAAAGACCGTCTGCGGAGTCAGCTAAGCGCGTATATGCTCATCGACCGGATCAGTCTTGGCAAAGGTTATGGTCCCCTGCTGGCTGGCTGGCTGGCTGACTGACTGAGAATCTCGAGCACAGTGGACACGTCCGCACCTCAACCGTACGATTCGGTCGCGTGCAGGTCATGGTATTAGGTCCATGGCAGTGACACCCCGTGGCGGATTTGGCGTGGCAGGCGTATCAAGGGCTCTGCTGTGTCGGCAGAATGGCCGTATGTTTGTGGGCACGTAAGCACATGTAGATACACACACACATACACGTGCATTTACTTAGAGTACATGTATATAAAAATGTACGTAGTTGTTGGGACGGGTGCCGTGGCGAGTGACATGGACATTGGGAACAGCACTCTGGCGAAACAAAGGTGGAGACCTTGGGCAGTCGGAGGATGCTAAACGGCGAGCAACGGCAGCAGAAGCCCCCTTTGCAGTGCAGGGGATGGAAGGATTTGTCGCCGTAAGAAGATGAGACTGCAACGTGATCTTCATTACCTGCTGTTGGGCCACTTTGCTAAACGCGTGCCGTCGCGACAAAAGGAAGCGAACTGCAGCTATCAGGGGACAAGTCGGATAAGCTCCAGTGCCAAGCCCGCCCGCCCCCCTGCCCCCAGAGTCGTTTGGGAGCATGGCGTTGCTTGATGTGAATTTGCCGAATGCGTCTGGACTGGTCTCTCCTCGCTCGCCCGCACAACGCCGCTGGCTGGCGGCTTGGGGAGAGAAAAAAGAGGCTTGCATGCAACGGCCTGAGAGCCGCCCAAGAAGCCAAAAGTCGCCATCGACTCGGGCGCATGGGCGACACGCCTCAGTCTCTAGCCGCAACCAGGTCTAGCTTCGAACCCAAAATGTGCTAGTGCCAGGGTCCGGGAGACGCCGTAGCCCCTGAGTGCTCCATGCGAGTCACTTGTATCCACACTCTCTGTCACCTCCACATCCGGCTGATCGTATTCCAAACCATGCGCTTATCATGTCCGCCTCCCTCGGCCCTCTCATAGGCCTTGCTGCTCCAACCGTCGCCTTCCACTTGCCCCCTCCGTCATGGCGCCAGCGTAGCCCAGGGGTTCCCAAGCACACGCCCGCACCGTATATGGCTAGCCGTTGCTCAAGCTGACTTTCTCCCAACTCGGCCCTCGTATCTTCGGCCCACTATCTATAGACGCTTTTCTCTTGACTCTCTTGTCTAGCTCTTGAACTCTCTTGTCCCGCTCAGCCCGCTTCTCCTCGTGCCGAACGTCGTTTTCTTTCCCATTGTCACTTTGTTTCCCAGTCGCTCGTTCTTCCTCACCGTTATGCCATCATGATCCCCAAAGGCTACCGTTTATCCTTTCCCCACCTCGTCTTTTACGTTTCCACCTTTATAATCACCACACAGCTTTATTTCATATGGGGCCAGTCCAAACTCAACTACATCGACTTTGCTCACAAGCGCATATTGGGCGACTGGACTTTTGATGCCGATGTCCACGCCAATGTCCATACTCTCAGCCAGGACCAATGCGATTCCGCCTTCCCAAAGCTCTATCACAGCCTTGACGAGTCCGTCCGCTTGCGGCAGGGGAGAAAGGTTCACGCCCAAGATATTGAAATAGAAGAAGGAAGATGCATGCTGAGAGTGCTCATCTACGAGGGAGAGGTATGTTGATGTTGATCTGTTCCTCCTAGTTTGCATGCATGCATGCTCACATCTGTCTCAGCTCTTCGTTGTCGATGCCGGAATCCCGGAAAAATGCTATGTTACCAACGGGAATGAGAGAGAACGCATTCTTGGAACTCTGGCCCAGATTGATCGTGCCGTTACTTCCGCATCTACCTCTGATCCCGCAGTCCCAAACATTGAATTCTCATTTTCGCTTGATGACCTACCACGCCGGTCTCGGAAGGATGGAACTTTCTTTGGCTACACGCGAAAAGACACACCAGAATATCGAGACATCTGGATGATGCCCAACTACGCCTACTGGGCTTGGAACTACACCCATGCTCCCAGCTGGAACAGCATCAGGAAAGAGATTGAGCAAAAGGAGAAGGACCTGCCCTGGGACAAAAAGGACCCCAGGGTCGTCTGGCGAGGCAAGATCAAGATGGCAAAGCTAAGAAAGGAGCTAGTCAAAGTCAGTGAAGGAAAGGAATGGAGCGATATCAAGCCTGTCGTCATCAATAACGCCAGCGATCCTCATACAAAGGACGTCATGAACTTGAGGGATTTCTGCGGGTATGTTTCCTTGCTCTCACAAGACACCTGGGCTTCGATACTGATTTTTTCCTTTGCTCAGCTACAAATACACTGTCCAGACCGAAGGAACCTCTTACTCCGGCCGCCTCAAGTATCTCCAGCTCTGCCGCTCAGCCATGATCACTCACCCCCTGGAATGGCAAGAGTTTCACACCCACCTCATGCGCCTCGCTGGTCCCGAGGTGAATTATATTGAGGCTTCAGAGAACTTCGGTAATCTCGAGTCCGCCATGGAATACTATCGTGAGCATGACCACGAGGCAGAACACATTGCGAAGAATAGTTATGAGACGTTTACCCGAAGGTATCTTACACCAGCAGCAGTGACATGCTATTGGCGACGATTGTTCTGGTCCTGGGCGAGCGTGCAAGGATTCGACCCACTCTTGTACGTCCCTGATAAAGACGGCAAGATGGCCATGAGAGGTACACCCTGGACGGCCTTCGCTGCCAACTGGCCCAAGGACCCCGCAGCTATTCCCTGAGCATCGGTGGGGAGGCTATCCAATATTCGGCCGCTGGAAGGTGAATTCGCATGAGCATTAGCATTGGAGTACCAGGTTTTTCCATTTCGTACGATACCCGCATTTACGCGCCAGAACATTAGACACGTATTAATATTGTTGCATATATTCTAATTAGTTGCCTCGTCTTATCCCATGTCTTCACCCTCAACTGTCTGACAAGTTATTCTGGGTCAACAGCTTGCGGGAAATGCTAATTTTGCAGATGCAGGTTCTGCGGCAAGCAATCTATCTTTATTGATGCGGCCCTAGCCGCCACTCGCTACCGCTTACGCTACAATATACTAACCGATAATGGCAGCTACGCAGCTATGGTGTCAGCAGCTACTTTGTTTTCTTCGTATGGGAGGATCGGAATCGTGGAGGATTCGAAAGCGACATTGCGTTACTTTAATATAGAAACCAATAATCAGCATCCCAAAGAAGACTTTCTATTACACGCTAAATATACATTACGAGAGACTTGATTCAAGACTCCCAACAAATCCATGGATGCTTTGCAATAAAATGACCTCAATGCCATGGCACGATACACAAACTAATCGGCATTGATTTCTGTTATATGCACTATGTTGTTCCTGTCCGCCTTTGCCTTGTTTCAACTTTCCACAGCTTTACCAAGTCTACAGCCACGGGCCTCCCAATACCTGGTCATTCTCGATACTGGCGTAGGGCATCGCAGCACGCCGATCCCCAGATGGCCTACTTCTCTTCGCCGTATCAATACTGACGGTACCAACACGGCTAACCTTACACAATTCGGCATAGTTGAGTCTGACCCCAACACACTCGAACAGCCGATACTTGCCGATGCCCTAACATACTCGCCGTCAACCTCCTCCCTCTTCTCCGTCACAGGTCGGGGCGTGGTGCGAACCAACATAGACGGTGGGAACTTAGAATACATCTTGGGCAAAGAGAGCGGCTTATCGAGCCAAATTGTCAGCATCACAGCAGCCGAGCAATCTCAGAAGCTTTACTATGGCGACTACAACACAGGCCTTATTTACTCCTCAAACTATGACGGCAGTAACGTCGCCGTATTCCGCAACGTATCTGAAGGCCTCACCTTTATCTCTGAGGACTACAGCTATGCCAATACACATGCCGGTGGCATTGTTGTCGACGAAGCACGGGGCTGGCTCTACTGGAGTTCAGTAAGTGACGGTAGCATCCGGCGCGTCCTTCTCAGCGGCGAGGGGCAGGAACAAGTTCTAGTTACTGGACTCGACAAACCAGGCCAACTGCGCATCGCAGGTACCTCTTTATACGTTGCCGAGCGTGGCTCGTGGAGCTCCTCGCCCACAGCTATCAAGTACCTCGGCCGCACGATTGACGAGCTTCCTGCATCCCCAACGTCTCTTAATCTAGCCGTGCCAACGGGTACTCTCATTTCGTCTGCACAGTCGTCGCTCTTTACAGAAGTCGATTACACGGGTGAGAAGCAGACGCTGGGAATTGAGAGCTTCGTTGTCTATAGGAATGGCGTGGAACAGATTGTGTATTTTGCTGTCAATAGTGCGGGCAGGACGTCGTTCGGCAAGATAGTAGAGACAGTCTGGAGAGGGAGTGGGGATAGTAGAGGTCCCGTCTTCAAGGTCTTGAGCGCGAAGACAAGCGAGGTTGGAATCCCCGTTGGATTAGAGCATATCTTATGATAGATATCAGAGACGGACATTATCTCTCTCTTCACTAGAATCCTTCGAAACAATCAGTTACTCGGTAGAAACTCTACTTTGCTATCGTTGTCGAATACATACTGTTTGTCTCTTTTGGGTGATTGACTATTCATAAGTCAAATCAGAATTTGATTATATTAACACTAGTAGGCACGAACTAAGTTAGGTCGACGTCTAAAATGTATCAGTCATGTCGCCATCGACTATGCCACGGCCGATGGTATTATCTAAAAGAATTGAGCGAGAAGAGAGCTATGCTTATCCCTTCAGAGAGCTGCTGTGTAGAAACGGAATAGCTCTCGTAAATTCATCGCGTTTGTCTGACGAGGTACTTCTGCCATATATGCTAACGTAATGCTGCCGTCCTCTTATACCCATGTTTAGGAAGCGCGGATTGCTATCGATCCTTTTCCAAGTTCGCCTCTCTGCAAGCTCTTCTATATTCTAGTTGGCCCAAAAAAACAGGCCCATCAACGAATCCGCCTCTCGCGTACCCATCATGACCGCGAGCATTACTCCAAGGAAGGCTACCTAAGCCTTCGCACATATTTCCCAAACCAGCATTGATTGAAGGTTTGTATTCATTTATTGGCATGCTAATAGCTCTAGTGAGCTGTCAAGTGAGTCCTAGACATATCCCTCGATGCCACGGTACGTCAAATCTTGAAACAGCAGCCGTGGCCGATTCCCCCAAGGAGTCTTTGAAGACAACCCTGGGCCCAACGGATACAACTGTTTTGATAGAGGAAAGAACAACTTTTTGGAAGAAAACGTTTAACGTGTTTCACAAGCGAGCTGATCACCCAAGCGAGCTGATCACTCCC